TCACTGAATAATTTGAAAATGATAATTATACGGTCGATTCCTTAAGAACGGTAACAAAACCGAGCAAATAACAAATGGAAAAGGAATTTCAGATAATTGGGACGTCCCGATGTGTCCCGATTAAACGGAATCAACAGTATTGTTTATATACATCTATATAACACTATTCAAATAATTTTCTAACGAGGATAATTGATTCCTGAGGTTTGAACTGTGTATAATACATAACTATTAAATATGCATAATAGTATATAAATAAATTAGCGCCATAACAGTTTATTCTAGTTTTTATATACATTTAACATGCATTACATATTTACGAATAGTTAACATTTTTTAAGTTGTGTATTTATTTAATAATTATCAAATACAGATATGTGTTTAGTTATCGAATGTTTATTATTTAACAGAAATATAGTACAACTCTTTAATATATTTATAATTTGTTAAAATTGCATAGTAAGTTGTCAGGCGGTAGGTGTTCGGCCTGGAAGCAAAACGCTTGCAACACAATGAAGCATATATGCAGGTAGTAGGAACATCAAATAGTATGTTTTTCTTTTTATATATTAATTTTGTTTTTCACTTCCTTTAATTTGGTATGTTTTATATTTCCTATGTTTATTTAAAAATAGTGCTATGCAAATGCGGCACTTACTAAATAAGTAGTATATTTATAATATGAATATGTTCACCTCCTTGCGATTTCAATCCAAAAGCTTTTCCAATTCTAGTACGAACGAAGGTCGCTATTTCAATATAAATGTACGTGCATTATCCTTCCGAATTCAGATTAGAGAGACTTGCAAACAAGACAGGATCTCTTAAGAAACTATCATGAACGGATTGGTGAGTCCTTAAAGTAATAAAGTAGATTCAACTGTATTCCCCGCAATGAATAAAGTGATTTTAAAAATTATTACATTTTAATTTTTCTCAATTTTTATTCATTATTAATCCACCTTTGATATTTTCCATAACTATGGATAAATTAGTAATGTGTATTAAAATGTGTGTGCATTTATTATTGCAGACTATCGCTCTTTTCGCCTGCTTGGCAGTTATCGCCAGTGCTAAGCCTTCCGGCTGGGGCCATGGAGGATGGGGAGGTGTTGGAGCGTGGGGAGGTGCTGGAGCATGGGGTGGTCATGGAGGATGGGGAGCAGGAGCTGGTGCCGCTCTCAACCATAACTACCATGGATCCGTTGGACCTGCTGGTGTCGTTACCGGTGCCGGAGCTGTGGGACCAGCTGGATCTGTCGATGGACATGGCGCTGTAGGACCTGCTGGAGTCGTCAATGGACATGGAGCTGTCGGCCCAACCGGACCTAACGGAGTTGGAGGTGGATGGGACGGCGCCTGGGACGGTGCTGGTGCATGGGACGGTGGTCATGGAGATTGGGATGATGGTAGCTACGGTCCATGGGCCGGACATGGTCATGGTCACGGACATTGGTAAACGACACATTAATCCTACGAAATATGTAAATACCCTCGAGAACTTAATTTAAACTACAGCAATAAGCTTATCATCCACGATGTGTTCACTTAATACAAAAAACACCACCACCAATTTTGTATATATATATATCAACCTGTGTTCAATAAAACGCAAACAAAAAAATAATTACAATTTGTCTTTATATTCCTTAATACGTTTTCCTATTTATCAGAAATACCAGTCATTTTCCATGAGTTTTCTGTATATAGATTAAATTTGATAAAATAATTTGGTAATAAAATAAATATTTTCTATTATGGACTGCAAGAAGCAAATTATACGGTCATCCAATAAATAAATAAATATATCTATGTGTAGTACTATTATACACATAAAACAATTTGATAATTATTTAATGGAGTTTCATGTATATTTGTATATGACAACTTAATTGACAAATTGACTATTTTCTATGAATGATATGCAAATATTTTCAATTTCGCAGAACATCTTCAAAAAATATGATGATACTAGAGGATAGTATAGAAAGCAATCTAAAGAAATGGCATTTAAATTATTAATAAAATATTTTACATATACTTGATTAATTAATTATAAAAATAATATTCAATTATACATTGTATAATACAAGTAAATTCCATTGGTTTGTTTCCCACATTTATTAGCGACGAGAAAATTAATATGTGTTAATTCGCCTTAAGTTAATTAATTGAATTAAAGATATTAAATAGTTTTTTTTTTTAATAATTTGACTTGGAAGATAATTTTTAAAATAAATTTTAAATTAATTTATTATCATTGTGAATGGAGAAAAATATACACAGAAGGAGAAATACCTAAGAAGAAAAGAGAGTTGAAATATATTACTATTATTCTTATTTGGTAGGAATAAGATTTATCTATTTTATAGATATACTTCCAATTCATAAATTTTGGTTTAATTAAAAATAAACATCACTAAAACTTATTATTATTAATTTTGAAATGATAATTATATTTATTTTATATACGCATTTATATAACACTATAGAAATAGTTTACTAACGAGGATAATTAGTTCACAGTGTTTGAATTGATTATAATACATAGTTATTTAATATGTATGTAGCGCGACAACAGCTCATTTTAGTTTTTAATTACATTATTTTAATAAATTAATTCCATTTACTTACACTTATTGTAACATGATATTAAATATGCAGAACTTTTTTATGCTATAATATTTTATACAAAAATATTTTCTTTATATGCCTTTAATTGTTTACATTTTTTTAGATGCATATTTATGTTAGTTATCTAATGTTTATTATTTAACAGAAAATCAACACAAGTTTTTAGTATATTTATAAATTTGAAATATACAATAAATGAAATAAGTATTTTAATATTTTTATGTTGACATAATGTATCCTAATTATTAATATTTTCTGTATAAACATTCTTTAACGAAATGAAATGATAAAATAATTAACGTTATATTTGATATTTCAAGAATGTTTTTTATTATTTTTAAAGGGAAATTGGAATTATTGATAGTTTAGTTTATTTTTGCATCAATTTTATTTTTGTATGATGAAGTTTTGGAAATCAGTATTTTGATATCAAGGAAGAATGCTATATAAAAGTTTAAATTTTCTTTATTTTGATATATTTAATTATTTCTTATAACACTTATTTCTTTTTTCAATTATTTGTGTAATTTTCAATATTAATGTTAAATTATATTAAATTAAGTGAAAATATCACTTCAGAGAAAATGTATCTGTCTTCTTACGTTGTTATGTTACAAATGAATTAGAACGGATTGTAAGATAGTTTTGGCGTGGCATAATGTTGCTGCTCCCATTTCCAGTGAGTGCAGGAACAAATGTTAATGGGCAAGAAAGTGATCAAAAAGAAAAATGCAAAAAAGTGGTGTGAAGTACGTGCATATTTTAATAAAGATACTTTATGTGGATCAGTTAATGAGAAAATCGTCGAAGGTCGTCTTGCCAGTATATATACTTGGGTTATCACTGTTGGAGACATATTGAAACATCTTGTGTATTAAACAAGATCATCATGAACGCTTTGGTAAGAATACATTTTATATAGTTATTTATTTCTTTATAAATAATATTGTATATTATAAAAACAAAACTTGAGATTTAATTACATTATTTTTTTTCTCTTAGACTGTCGTTGCCTTTGCCTGTTTGGCAGTTTGTGCCAGTGCCAAGCCCTCTTGGGGACATGGTGGATGGGGAGGTCATGGATCCGTAGGACCTGCTGGTGTTGTGACCGGCGCCGGAGCTGTGGGACCAGCTGGATCTGTTGATGGACACGCTGCTGTAGGACCAGCTGGAGTAGTCACCGGACACGGAGCTGTCGGACCAACCGGACCCAACGGAGCTGGAGCATGGGGTGGTGCTTGGGACGGTGCCTGGGATGGCGCTTGGGACGGTGGCCATGGAGCTTGGGACGGCGCCTGGGACGGTGGTCATGGAGATTGGGATGATGGAAGTTGGAATGATGGCGCTTGGGGCGGATGGGACGGTGGTCATGCCAATGTTGTCCATGGAAACGGTGCCACTCTTGTCGGACCAGGAGTCGGACACGCTGTCGTCTCTGGACCAGTTGCTCATGGTTACGGATTGGGACACGGATGGGTTGGCGCCGGTTTGGGGTGGCACGGCCATCACTGGTAGACAACAAATTTTAGACCATTTAACCAATTACCTTAAGGCTCAACATGAACTGGCCATATCAACATATTCTACCCTCTACCTTTATGGCTCATAGTTCTATCTTCTATTACCTTCTTTTTTATTTCCTGTTTTAATTTATCCGATTTTTATTCTATTGAATGTGATATATGGTTTGTTTATGTTCTACATTCGAGTCCAGAAAACCGTTTGCTCAATATCTAGACGAAAACTGCCTCGATTCAATGACCTTTCTATGCAATATATGTTGTAAATATTTTTGTATTATGTTTAAAGTGTGTTCAATATAATAATAAAAACCAGAAGTGAATTTTTAACAAAATTATGTCTTTATCAATATACCCTGTCTATTTTCATTACAATAATTAAAAAAAATATAATTAAAAAGAGATAAGGTATTTAATTCTAAAAAAACTATAAATATTTTTATTGGAAACAATATATAATTAATTGCCAGTGATATTCAATAAGTATTAAATTCTATAAAATGTTGCATATTTGTACGACTGCTTACGAAAGTTATACAACAATTGTTACTTTATAGAACAGAAATGCAATGAATATATGTTGAAAATCTTGTAACAGTAATTAATTATTTTAAATTGTATACTTTCAATTAAGTCTATAAGAGAATAGTTGCGTGTATTCATATTTAGATGTCACTAAGAAACTTGTGCGACGTGTTTTATACCTAGAAAATTGAAGTAAATAAAAGTCTAGCATTGGATTTCATATTATTAAAACAATATAAGAATGATATGCAATTTATTTATATATTTGAAAAGTTTCGTTGCTGCTTAATAGGATATAATTACAATTAAGTTTTATGCAACTTTTATGTTTAAATAAGTCTTCAGTAATTCTTTTGTAACTGTAACAATGTAAAAATATTAATAATAAACAAAATTTATTGCATAATAATATAATACTTTAACGGTGGGATAGGCGATGTACTATCTTTTCAACATTCCTAGTGGGGTATTATTATAATTTTCTAAAAAATATATAGAAAAAATGAATTTTTTTTGAATGAATTTTTGATAGTTGATTCAGTTGACGAAGATGTCTGAGTCAGTTGTCTAGAAAATTCTTGAATCTAGAAATTTAGGAATTTCAAAGAGTGAAATATTATTATTTTTAAGAGTAAATAAGTCATATAGTAAATAATAAAAAAAAAATTGGAAAACAAAATTGCAGTCAATATATTTTTGTATAATAAACAAATTAAATCTATTATATTCTATTAATAAATTAAACGACTTTATTTTTGTTTATATATAATTTACGTAATTGCAAACTTATTAAATCTTATTAAAACCGTTAATATTTTCCTATTTAAACTAGGCAACTTTCCTTTATAACCTTGCTACACAACACATGAATATTTAGCATTTTTCTAATTGGAAAATACGCTTTTGTCATATTATTTAAATTCAAATATTGAAAGAAAAACTGCGCTTGACATTTATAGATTTTTTTAATAATCCTATTTGTTACATATTAAAATGTAAATATTTAATAATTTTGGATAATTGAATTTGATGAAATTTTAATTTTGGTGAAATTATATTATAATTATAGGAAAACGTGCAGCGAGTTCACGTTAACATAAGTGTAAACAAGAGACTCTACGTATTTCAATAAGTTTTAATATTCAGGGCCACATTACTCTAGTAATAAAATAATTGCTGACATGGGCGTATGCATTGCAGCAACACTATGTATGCATACATTTTATTTATAAAAAAAACTGTATCTTAGAAAGAAGCCGAGCAGAATTCTTTGTTGCCCACCAACAGAATTTTGCAATTACAGGAATAGACTGGAGAAATGAAAAGAAAAGGGCGTGACTCAATTGACTTGCTTATAAAGCAAGGTTGCAACTGTCCTATATAAAACTCAATCTTTAATTAATAGATTTTCATAATAAGCTAAGGAGTTAAACGACGATGAAATCACTTGTAAGTAACTGGAACAAATTTGTTTCTTTAGGTTATTAACAGTTGTTAATTTATTTTTAGATTTTGCTGTGCTTTGCAATTGCGTTTTGCGATGGTGCGCCGAGCTACCCTCATGCACTCCATCCAGGAGTCGGGGCAATTTACAAGGGTCCAAATTCCGAGACGATCATCAAAGGACCCGATGGTAGCATAATCACGTCGCAGCAGGAAGGAGGAGAAGTTGCTATTAAGGGAGAGGCTCCGATCGTTGGACCAGGTGGAGGTATTGGAGGTTTTAGCCCTATTGTAGTTGGACCTTCGCCTGATTTTGTAGCTTCCGTGCCATTCCACGGCCCGGGTTTGGGAGCCATTGCACCTTTTGCACCTGTCATCTCTGAACAATTTTTGACAGCTTCAGTTGGTCCGATCATTTCTGAACCAATAATCACAGCGTCGGTTCCTCCAGTAGTCCTTCCTTTGGGTCCAGCCGTTTTAGATAGCGTTATCAGGCCGATTCCACCGTTATTAGCAACCAATCCAATTGTAGTACCAGACGTAGCTGTAGTTGCAAAAGATCCAAAAATTGTTGAGGAACACATCGTTGTTGGAGATAAAATAATAACGGTTCCAAAAAAGTTGGAAGAGAATGTTGATCTGGTTGGTCCATCTGGGACAATTTCCACCAGAGGCGGAGACGTAGTAGTCGCAGGACCATCGTCAACCACCATCAAAGGAGGTGGAGTAGTTGCATCGATTGATAAGCAAGATGACATCAACATTAAGACAGTAGAAGTAAAATCCGTTGTTGCCCCTGCCATCATTCAAGCACCGAAAATAATAGCCCCAGCTCCGGTGATCGCCTCTGAAGCAGCAGTCCAAACAATTATCACCGCAAATCCAATTTTGGGAAAGATCCCTGACGCTCGCGTCGCAGGAGGCATCATTCATCCTCCAGTGATCCACAGTCATGCTCCAACTTTGGTCCATTCCGGACCACTTTTGCAGCCGAACTTCGTCGATCCGAGCCTCACCGTTATACCGGACTTCTATGCTCCGGTTCTCGGTGGTCTCCCATTCAAGCCCATCATCCACGGTCCATTCCACTGATGATTATTAGGAACGCAATATTTATTTAATCCTTTTTCTTAATTTATTTCACTAGTCACCAGATTTGCGACCGCATTGATAAAGGTTAATTGAATTCGAATGTCCTATGAACTATTTATGTAATATTATATAATAATTGCAATAAAAAAATATTTTATGATCTACATACAGTTTACTTTTTTTCCTTGTTCACGGTATCCTTGAAGTTATTGAAATATTGTATTTTTTAGTGTAATTACCTTCAAGGTTTTGAATAATTCAGGAAACTGTTCACGTTAGTAACATAAACATAAATTATTTTACTTTCTCATACGTTTATCTCATTTATATCAAATGTTTTAATTTTGTCAAATCAATATAACGCAAATATTTTTATTTTCCATTAAATAAGAAGGTTTTTTGAAAACGGCTTTTGTTTGTCAATAGAACAAAATATGAGATACATTTTTCAATTAAATTAATAATCATATTACATTCACTTTCTTCATTTTGTGAAAATACTGTGAATAGCCTAATGTATGTTGTTATACCAAACATTTTGTTTATTGTCATTGTTGTTAAATATATTTAGTTTAAAACTAATTAATATTTAAAATTTTGAGCTAAGTCGTAATAATATTGATAAGATATTATTACGTATTAATTGCGTACATACACGTTAAGGAAATAAAATATAAATCACACGTATTTACTTTAATTATATATAATTGTGACCTTGTGGGATAAATTAATATTTTTTCATTCATCTCAGCAAACTGCACTTGTTATAATAATATGTATAGTTGATAATTATATGTTTCAAACTATATATTTTTATTTATATACAATGAAGAAATTCAACAACAAATAAAGTTTGTAAGCTTAACATTTGAAAATAGGAAAATATGTTGAAAAAAATGATTAAAATTGTCATTTTAATTTTAATCATTTTTTTAATTAACGTATTTATTTAAGATACTTTTAAAAACTAGGATAAAATATAAAAATGATTTCTTCAATGAAAAAAGTAAAATAAAGACTGCATCAGTGATAACTCTGCATGAAGTAAATATATAATTATATAACGATTAAAGCTATTGCTTCATAAAAAGCTCCAACAATGAATAGCTTCAAGGCATTTCGACGATACGGCTTGAATTCCAGAAAGGAGTTGCTCTGAAGATAATATTTTATTTTATTTATTTGTAGCATTACTTAATACATAAACGACTGAAAAAAAATACTGAAAATGTTACCAAATTTTATTACATTTATTTTTTTGTATTAATAATTGCATATTTTCTATAAAAAATATAGTAGATGAACAAGGTATGTCATTTCAAACTTTCTTTACATTTCCATATGTAGACATATATAGAAAACTTAAAAGTAAAATTTGTAAATATTATTTTATTTACTTGTAATTACTTGAATTGTTGAATTGTTTTATAAACTGTCAATTAAGGTGATATATTAATTAATAAATGTACAGGATGTAAGACTTATTCTAATTAAACTATGAATAATGTTAATTCGATTGGTGTAAGCGAAATTCCATAAGCGGTCAGTTGACATTACGTTTAAGGAAAAGCCCATTGTGAAGGCGAGCGTTTCATAAGTGCAATTTATGTTATTGAGATTCGGAAAAATCAAATTGCAAAGGCATTTCTGCTCTGTTTAGCTAACATTTGAATGGTATTCGAATAGCTGAATGCATAAATCTCTATAGCCGGTGCACAAAAAGAAACCTCCGCACAGAAGGCTGCAGGCCACGTGAACTATTCGCACCAGGCATATGTGCACTTGAACATGAATCGAAAAGGTTACGCCTTACAATTCCTGATATGATTTACATAAAATGCGGACCAAAGAATTTTCATCGCAATAACTAATAAATGACCGATCACTTATATATACGTACTTTTTTTTTCCGCTCTGAATCAATTATGAGTATCTTTATTCATTGGAAAATGTTGTATTTGAACGGACGTCGTAATAGAAAAGAAAAAAAAACGAGGAAGGAAATCTACTAATACTTTTTTTATGATGGAAAATTATAACAAATATTATTTAATAAAGAAAAAAAAAGAAAAATTAATCTTTTGTAATGCTTTATCTTCAATATTAAAAGCATACTAATCAACATATTTAAATACACAAAAAATAGCATATAACGTCATATAATGAATGAATGAAGAAAAAAATTCAATATTGTTGACTTTTATTTTTTTTTATTAAAATATTAGAAATTATCAAATATAAAAATATTGAACAAAATAAAGTATATTGGCTTTATTGGCAAATTGATCAGTTTGAACTAATTACAATTTTATTGCTTTCAATTGAATTAGTAAATAATATATAATATTATGTTAACTTTGAAGAATTTAAAACGTAAATAATTACGTAAGATAAATGTAGGACTTTTCATTGGATTTGATTATCTAAAGACACGCAGTTGCTTTATAGCATTCTGATGATATTAGATATGCATACGTATCGTAAATACTATTCAAGCAGTAAAGATAACGTTGAATTAATTCCGAACTGAAAAATATTTGTTTCTATCCATCGATACATAAATATGAATTACGTTATATTTCCTACATTTAATTGCTCCAAGAGCTCCACCCGTCTGACATGACAATGCACTTGGTCTGTCGACTTTCTCGTCCAATTCAAGGCTCCCTTCTTCATCCGTTTCATACTTCATTTCCCACACCATTTCTGCGACAAATTACCTCTAAACACGTACATTTTTGTGGCTAAATTCAATTATTCAAATTCACTTTTTTACTGTCAAATAATTACATGCTTAATGATCAATTATTGCTTCTTTTGTATAGGTGTCGAAAATAAACTTTTTTTTATAGATTTGGTTATGATTTTACAGCTGTATCCAAATAATGGGTAACATTGAGATGAAATAATAAATATACTAATAACTGTATAATATATAATATATTTTTAGTGGTTAATTTATTTTTTATAAATATAATTTTGGACTAAAAAATAAAATAAACAAAAATGGACATTGATTTCTTGAATAAATGGAATAAAAATTAAATGCACATCTAAATTATTTATGGTCATAATATTTATTACAAAAGTTATAGAAGAAAATAAATTACAAAATGAATGTTATATTTTTAGTATTTCCACAAGTCCAAAACTCAATTATTCGCATATATATCTCGACATTTTATCGATATTAAAATACAAGACTTCCATGAATATTTTAGAAATATGATTTTTTTTTTAATTTTTACTTAAAATTTAGGGTGTAAATGATTCGGTACTAATTTCTTTAGTAAAATATCATGTATTAAAACAGTTTGATATTTAATAAGTATGATAGTATAGATATTTAGTAATATTATATTAAAAAATATATAATTCACTTACTTTAGAATAAGAGCCAAAATTTTTGATTTTTTTGAAGTAAAATATTTTATAATTTAAAAGTAGTTTAAAATCTTCTATAGAGTGTATAAATGATATTATGAATGTAATAGCCGTGTTAATTATGTAATTACAATGACGGGGTATGTAGTACTATGAGTATGGGATGTGAAAAAGGCAATAAAAAAGTGCAAAGTTATTTAAATAATGGGTGCAGTCGAGGCCAGTTTCTAGTATAAAAAGGAGGGTGCTTTAATTATCTGTATCACTTGAAGTGAAGTTCTCATTACAGTGAAAACAATCATGATTAAGACTGTAAGTATTGAGAACCGACTCCAGTTGCAAAAGCAACGGTAAATAATTATTATTCTATTTTTTTTACATCTTTTTAATTTGCAGGTATTGGTAATTTGCGTGGCCGTGGCTGCCGTCAATGCTGGGCTATCAGCTCACATCGTTGGTCCACCGACCAAGGGAATTGTCATCACTGGACCCTCTGCTAAGGGTTCAGTCGTCGGTCCCGATGGAAGCCACATCTCCGCCGTCATCCCCGGTGCTCAAGTGATCGCTCATCCAAAACCAGGTGGTGCTATTGTCGCAGCCGTCGTGCCAGGACATGTCGCCGGACACGGAGTTTGGGGTGGATGGGGTGGAGCCGGTTGGGCCGGTCCAGGAGCTTGGGGTGGTCCAGGTGCTTGGGGACATTGGGATGATGGACACTACGGTGGACACTGGTAATTTCTGAACACATCTCGAGGAACACGTAAACAACAAAGCAAAATAAAAATAAACTCCTGGTTTTAACAAATATTTGGTGACTGACCTCAAAACCCTTTTTATATTCCAACGCATTGTAATTTCTTCTCTTAAAAAAATATGTATATTTGTATATAATAAACCAAGTTATATTTCTAAAAAATAGACTTTGTCTTTTATTTCTTTATCAATTCCATATAAATAAACATATTACTTCGTAAATCGTTATATTAATTAAAATGTTTTTTTTTTAATTAAAATAAATAAATAATATATAATCGTGTCTTTTCATGAAAAACTAATAGAAATGTATATGTTTCGAATCCAATTGTAATAATCTAAATAAGGTAGTAATATGAGTATTTTCAATTTTGTATTTTGGAGATTGCAGATCATTTTAGTAATAATATTATGAATATAAACTGTGATTAAGTTCATCTTTTAAACGGGGAAATCAAATTAAAAACGTTTTATTTAAAATTTTAAAATCTAAAAAAATATACAGATTTAAATCTAATAAGAACTGAATTTATTTATTATAATTAAAAAGTTGTCTTATTCGGTCGATATCGATAAGTATAACTTTCTAAATACAGAAAACTATATTCAATTAAATAATTTTAAAATATTTTTTAAATAAACCAGAATCAGAACAAAATTGAAAATCGACTTGATTCAGTTCACTAATTAAAAACATTATTTTGAATGTTATTGATAATGTCCGAAAGTGCGGATCTTCAAATTTCTAAAAGCATTAATTTAGTAGATGTTCAATTAAAACGCAGGTGTTCAATTAAATAAATTACTCCGGGTAGACTGCGGTCAATAGTCCTTGTGTATGTTCTTATACAATATATTTTGTTTATTATTATATTAAGTTTGCATTTTATTGCATTATATTTTTTACAAAATTATTGGGAAAAAATTTAAACAATTTTCTGCAATTTATTTTGCTAGATTATTAATATTTTCTTTGAGAAAACAATTAACATTTTATTAGATTTAAACAAATTGAGTCTTGTTTTTTTCAATTTCAAGCATTTTCAACTATGTCGAATGAACTCTTTCAAATTTTATATTAAACCTAATTGTTAATTTTGAAAGTGCCATAACTCCATTTGTGGTAAAAAAACACATATTATTCACTTAATAATGATTACTATTTTATAAGAGCTGTAAAGTTAATTTTCTAAGATACACTTAAGCAATGTGACACATTTGTATCCTATACGTATATTTTTAATTTTATTAAATAGCAAACTTTTAAATATTTGAATTTAAATATAATTGGACTTTAGGACACTTTCAAAATGTACAAACAAATATAAATATGAATGAACTGAAATAGTAAACACATTTGATTATATATTAGGATACAATGCATTACAAAATACCGATGTATATATATATAATGTGAATTTCACTTTTGGATCGTGCTGGAGTGAAATGTAATTGATTGAACTATGCCATTAAAACGCGAAATATCTGCTTTATTACAAAGGCGTTAACGCCGCTCGTGACAATACTGTGAAATGCTATTATTTATTTATGTATGTAACTAGTGTAGCAACAACAACACAAAAAAACTTCAGGAAAGAGTAATTGCACATTCAGCCCACCACTGTATGGCACACATATGACCTTGCACATTGGATACGCATCAGCAGGTTGCACATTAGAATGTATTGTGTACATTATTTACATGTCGCAGATTTTTCAAAACTGCACTATTTATTATGTTTTCAATGCAAATGGCACACCTACATCGGTAAATTGATTAATCTGCATTCAAATGTTAATACATCCCAAATTACAGCTCCATTCATTTCCTTAACATTAAAATTTAAAATATGTTTTTGCTTGAATCTAACGTTATTACAATATAAAATGAAGAGGTTTTTTCGAAAATATGAATTATATAACTATTTATTATAATCATAACCGTTTTCTGAGAATAACTTTAAAATCGAAGTAATATGCATTATTTTTGTAAGAAATTAATTATTGTAATATGTGATATTTCATATGTTTGTTTATTATTACATTTTACGATATTTTTAAAATAAAATTCCTATTTTTTTCTAAACCGCAATGCGCAAACCGCAATAATTATATAACTAATTTAAAAGTGTCGAATTATTGCATTAGATACTATATAATAATTCACATAATTTCAGATTGAGAAAAAGAATAAATAAAATCAAAGCAATTATATGATTCACGCAAAACGTTGTATTTTTTTACTTAAATGTTTATAAATAAACGAGTGCGACTATTAAGTTTTTCTATGTATTCTGAGATGATATTTTTTTTTCCTAATGCAGGCTCATCGAAGGACGACCCGTTATTATAATTGAACGATCAATTAAATTTGATTGCGTCTATATAATAATCGAGCGCAATAAAAAACATTAAATTTGCGTTAGTTTGTCGTAACGTTGACTTCGTGTGCACAGTAGAAATGAAGTTCCTGGTAAGTCGTCGATGTCGTTAATAACTATTTATGAGTAAATTATAATGCATATCGAGTGGCGAAGACATCAATTAAACGACGCCGTGAGACTCAGAAAATCCTTAATTAATCATTAACACTTGAAATGTCTTAAAGCGATGCAAACTAATATGTTAATAATAGAGTTGAGATTTAGACCCATAATCAATACTTAATTAATAGTAGTGTTTTCAAATAAACATAAATTTATATTGTTTATTGATGAATACAATAAATAATTATTTTTTCTTCTGTTTTAGGTTGCAGTGTTGACTATTCTTTTATTAACAGGAAACGGAATTTGTAAACCTGCGGCTTCAGCTAAACCTTCTGTAAGTCATGTTTTAAACATATATGAATTACTTATATACGCTAAATATTAACTATTATTTCGTATATAGATTACATCCGCATATGGATACGGCTACGGTCATGGATTATACGGTGGTTACGGAGGTTTAGGATATGGTGGATTAGGTCTGTACGGAGGATACGGAGGATATGGAGGTTTAGGACTTTACGGAGGTTATGGAGGTTACGGAGGGTATGGAGGATGGCATAGCCCATTCGGATATGGATATCCTTTTTATCGTTGATTTAAGAATCAGCAAATGTATCGTATTTTTCAATCTATAAGACGTGCTCCAATTTACCAAAAATTTAAAAAGTATAATTATTCCCAATTTTAAGTTGTTTTCTTTATGTAAAAATGTGCGTCTTATGTTTCGATAAATACTTTTCATAGGATTTTTTTAATTACTCATTTAGAGTTATATAATAATACATACTTCATAATTCTGTGAATTATATTTTTATGAAAGGTGAAAGTAATATACTTTTTATACACATAAAGATATTAAAGAAAATTGAAATATTATCTATCTTTATTTGCAACTATTTGACATTGATACATAAAGTTTTCCCCAATTATTTTCCGGGTCTCCAAGAAATCTTATCCATTCCGTGGAAGGACCTCTTCAAATTTCCGCTGTCGGCCCACTTCGAATTCAAATAGCTGTCATCGTCGTCGGCCATTAATTTCTTCATTTCTTCCTGTTTCCGGTAGGCGTGTAACATTATCTGCTTCCTTTGTTCCTCATTCATAACAGGTTCCCTTCCTGGCGCACCTTGACCGGGTTTCGATATTTTCATAATCACCTAGAAAGCAACGAAGTGCAATAATAAAACGTGACTATTTCCAATTCTTACCTTGCAATTCTCAATCTTTCCAATGTAATCCCCAACGGTTTTACCATCCCTGTACATCTCTTTGCCGCAGAACCAAATTTTGGCTGCTGTAGCATCGATCACGTCTTTGGCGGCTTGCGTCCCCGACAAATCTTCAATATTTTCAAATTCCATCCTGATTACATCGTGCGGTGGTAACTTCATCGGATATACAATGGTGACGGCGCCTTTCAGAAGATTCAAAGCTTCCTGAATGATCTTCATTGTTAAACATTGATTTTGCGCTACTAGATTTTTGGTAATCAAATCTTTGGCTTCTTTTGCCGTGTTATTTAATATATCTTGCATTTCTTTGCGCGGTTGTTTACCATTCCTTCGACCAATAGGATCTTTGTTTTCGCCGAAACCGCCGCTGGGAATGCATTTGTTGCCCCAAGTATCGACCAATTTTAATTCTTCTACTTGCTCTTCCGTGAGACCCATAATCTCAGGTGGATACATTGTACCATAATTAGCTAACTCTGACATTTCGCAGCAAATCCTATCGATCTTCAATCTCCCATTGTAGATGGTAACAACATTATTCACCAAATCGTCTACGGACGTACTTAAAGTTGACTCGCACAGAAATTGGCTCTCATCGTTATGTTTTATATGAATTAACACCATCTTGAGAGGATAAAACAACTGTGACACTTGAATCAAACGTACAAATGTTTTTAGTACAGATTAAAGTTTGTTTGTCGTTGCTAATAGTGACTATTCATAATGTATCGATCAAACAAATAAATTTCAGTATCTCCAAATTCCATAATAATAAGAATCAATAATATCCAAGTTAATTTAGTTAATTTACTTTTTGGTAAATTAATTAAAATACAATATTATTTAAAATAACTAAATTAATTATAATAAGATATTGAGACCTAAAACCAATCTGTAGATCCAAAGTTTTGATTAAACTTTAAAGTTTAATTGTGTTTTTATAATTACGATTCAATTAACGTTTTTTATACTACTTATATAGTCTAGAACCATTAAGATAAATTAATTGTTAATGCTTATATTACAATATATGCAACCAAATACACATGAGTGCAAAATTTATTGACTATATATAAAAAGTAAAGTTATAAGGAATATTATAAGTTAAATATAAAAAAATATCGATAATCGAAGTTTCTCTGCCTTTATCATTTACTGATAAATATTAAATTCAATCATTTATTATATAATTACAACATTTATTGTCCATCCTATCGATTAAAGGCTTATCAACCAAACATTTTTTTTCTAATGTAAAATACATTCCTTCCTTATACCTAAAAAATTACATGTAAAATATGAAGCTACACATATGGGAAGTGAAGAGTTTGAAAAGCATACAGCAAAGGAGAATAAATATCTTAGTTTTCATTATGAGTGTTGTGAAGACGATTATTTGGATGACGCATTTTAGTAAAGATGTGGATGGTAATTATTTATTATTAAGCCTTTAATAAATATTTGTAATTGTATTTTTATACAAAACAATATTTAATTTATATAGTATAGAAAACTAGTATAAGTAGATCATGAAATAATAGATATACAAATACAAAATCTGTCTTAATATAAATTAAGAATTTTAAGTTACTTTTCTCTTCATTTTTTTTAAAATCCAAATGAAAGTGATAAAACATTTACGTTTTGTATATTCGTATATTTTTTATTGTAACAGAATTATGAATTTGCTAAAAAGATGGTAAAATGTCATCGAACAAAATTTATTTTTTGTACAAGAAAATGGATTTTTTGTTTCATACTAAAAAAAACGAAATTTAATTCTTGCCGACTCAAATATCCACTTTTGGTTTCATTCATTCAAACATAAAAATAATAGCTCTTTGTAATAGTTTTAATTTTGAGTTGTTTATACGTGACTGATATAACAAACAAAAAAAAACATTTTCATTCACAACAAGAACAAAACAAAAAATATTAACTGTTGCGAAAAGCTATTAACCAGACCTATGGTTCTGCCAGAATAAATATTATTAATCTTACTATTTTCTTCCAAGTTAGTGAAATTGCAAAAATGATTATATAAGAAAACACGTCTAATGATTAGTTATCATAACGTATATCGTCAATCATTTTGCGAATTAGTGTCAATCAGAACGCAAAATTAAAATACACTTTCGCTGACTGATCTCATATATACAATATATAATATAAATCACAAAAATGATTTCAGACACCTTCCTAAAATTAAGTCAAACAAAATTTTTGCATACTAAATATTCCAAATTTAAATTTACATTTACATTTACATTTATAAACAGACTTTCTATTTAACTGTGTATCAATTCAAATATAGAATAAAACGTTTTCATCGATACATATTTTTTTGTTTTTATTCAAGATCAGTTGTATTAATCTAGTTCATTCTTATTCTCGATAATTTGGATTGTATTCATTCCATCGTCTAGCTAGAGAGTAATAAAAGAAGAAATGTGAGAGGAACTCGGGTTGAACGAATAAAGAATTTGAGGCTACTTTCATCGGCAATAGGAAATATCTAAAATAGCATCACGGATGAATAATTGAGATAATAAATATATCAATTTTCTATTATTATTATTATTCAAAACAATAGCTCTTTTTACTAACGATTCAGTAGTATTTATAGCTATCACATTGTGTTAAACATATTTTTAATGTATATATTTATTACTTTATAATAGCAATTAAATGCATCATTTAAAACTTATATTTTATATCAGTAAATGCTGCGCAAATTATAAAGTAATGAAGTCAAGAGAAGCCTTTCTCTCCCATCAGTTAATGGCATTCGTGCATTATGTGGATGCATCAAATATAAAAAAGCCATCTGAGTACACTTTAATTATTTTATTCTTCTCATGTTCAGTATAATTTTCAATTTCACTTATTCGTTGAACTAAAAATGCACTTTAAAAACTAAAATTAGTATTATTTTTTGAATAATGGAAATAGTAGAAAATCTTGCAAATTGTAAAAGTTTTGTTTCTTTTTTACATAATATTCAAATAAATTAAAACATAATCAATTAATTGTTACACAAATAAGATTATTGCACGTTAAATACAGTAATATTATTTTTGAATATTGCAAATATTCAATAATTTTTAATTTAATTTTAGAAAATGTTGCAAATTGTAAAAGTTTTTGTATTTTTTTTACATAGACTTAAAATCAATTAAAACCCAATTAAAATTATTTTAATTGTTGCAAAAAATAATTGATAATTATTGCAGATTCGCTCTCTTTGCCGGACGATGTCCGTCAATTAAGTACAATTAGCGCACTGCGTATGTCCTAATTAACGACAGTATATGGTGTATTTTATAGCTCCGTTGTTCTTCGAAGCTATAATGCAACTTTGTTCACTAATTCAGAGCGAAACGCAGAATCAGAAGACCATTAACAGTTGACTCTTCCGTTTTGCCAAGTTCTCTAGAAATGTCACATTTACTTTCATTTCCAATTATTTCCGCTGACATTCCATGTTTTAATCTTTTTTGATTATATATAATTAAAACTTACGAAATATCGCGTTACTTTGTTCAGTTTTTGATTCCTAACTGAAACAAAAGGAGCGAAGGAAAGATAAAAAAAGCACTAGTTAAAAACAACATATTTAATTATAGAGAACTTGTATATATGTATTGTGCCACATATTTATAAAGAAAAATAATGTGTATAAATATATTCATTTGTTTTTAGCCTTTCTCTTTATCTTTTAAACTACTCACTCAAATTTTCCAATTAATTAGTATGTAGATAAATGAACTATTCCATTTGATTCTAGTTCCCACTTTTACTCTTAATATATAATTAAAAACAAATTATAAATGAAAATTTTAAGAAAATGTTAGTTATGTCGTTGTTATTCAGTATATTTATTTCTGATTATTTTTTTAACAGTTTTAATGAAAAATTTTCGACAGTGTTCTTAGTCTTACGGTTAACCGAATTATAGTTTTTGAGTTTTTAAGTTTAAATTATATAAATATATTTAAAATGAGAGATTTATTTACAATTTATATTGTTGTATCCTCTCTATTTTCGTTAATATGTTCTTCAAAGTCCACTTTATGAAACAGATAAAATCTTCTGAAACGTCAATTAACTTTAATTACAAAAAATAACATAAATTATGTTTCATGTCTCTTATTCTTAATAAATCCAATTTATATAATTAAAGATTATTGAGTGCAAATAAATTATAATAAACTAAATAATATAGGTTTTGATTTATTTATTATAAGAGTAATATGTAAATATCTTGATACTATTATACAGGAAGACTACGGATTATATTTATAGCATTTTCTCTCTTCCATTTTATAATATAAATTTGCATAGCAAGTGCTTGCATAATAGTTTTCCTGTTAAAGAAAACCTCACAACTAAGTGAAAATTACTCAGTTATAATAAATAATAGCAAATAATACCTGTGAACTCTGCCGTGACAATTCCTAAAGTGCACGGAATTCGGATACAGGAAACTGAGTGAATTGCAATTAATTATAAATAAAAATACATTTACTTGAAATTGTAAAGAATGTTAACTTTCTTCTTCCGGTTGCTCAAATTGCGTAAAATATATAAATTTTTAGAATTTATTTGTTTCGAAATAAATTAAATAATCCAACTCTTATGAAACGTACAACACGTGCAATATGGAGGTTTCTCTGCGTTAATTGCCCGCACAGCATATGGATGGATGACAGCATATTCTTGTCTTCTTAATAGTTGTCTAATCGATAATTTTCTTAGATTATATAAGAACATCATTTATTTCATTCTATACAATATTGTGTTTAAATTCTTCTGTATTTATTACATATAATATTACTAAATTATAGAAGAATTTACATTTGAAGTAATTATAATGATTGCAATTTTTATGTTTTTTAGACAAAGGTGTGTAAAATTACCATTTGATACATTGATTCGTTCCTTCAGATTTATTCGACTAATAGCTGAATGGTTAAGTCGTCCTACCCAAAATTTCGTGAATCCTGGTCAAGCCAGGCGCTTTGTGAGCCTTACAAAAATTTCCTAAAATTTATCAAATATTACTTGGCAAGTTACAAGTAATATTCATATATGTTTATATAAGTAATTGCATCAATCAATCTAATCAATAAAAACATTAATTTTTTGAGACTACTTCTACAAGTACTTCTATAAGTTACTTGGCAAATATTGTTTAGTATATAATTATTTCAATTTAAACATGGAATGAAATGCATTATTTACATATACATTTTTCCATAATTGTTTGAATTTGTAATAATTAATGCTCGTTTCAAAATATTCGAATCGAAACGCAGCATTCTTCATGCGAATATAAAAATGTGTTTAATGTTTGAGATACGCAGTTGTTGCTGCAGCTGATTCTTCGTGACAATTCGCGACGTTTCGCATTTCCGAACAATCGCCTAATTTTTATTACTTTCTTATCTATCAATAATGCAGGTGTTCTCACTGCACTCTTTTCATGTCCAAATATGGATTTGTTTATACGTACGCACCTGCAGCTGTGATGATTCATCGAAACGCAGGCGTGTGCGAAGTTTTATCGTCAAATTTCTATGAAGCGCGCAAATATAGAATTTGAATAATCCGTAAATACAAAAAAATGTTAATAATTACTAAACAGGGTGACTACAAGACGACAACCAAAAAACAAATTAATGATGATTTGATCATGATGGTAACTATCCACCGGGAAATATTATCCATTTAATGTTAACAGCGATCTTCAATTTACTCAATGTTCCCATTGATGAACAGATTGTGAATAAAATTATACGACATAAAAATAAAAAATAAATATTATAAGATTACTAAATATTCCCTTTTGGTTATAATGTTTGAGCAATAAATATGTTAAAATAATATTATAAAAATATTCTTAAAGTAAATTTCATTTGTTAGACAGAATACAAAAGTTAAATAAAACAAATATAAAAAAATGTCTATAATTAATGACAACTGTTATCAATCTAATATTTTAAAAAAATATAAAATAATAATAATAATAATTTATTGGCTAAACATCGATACATAAGAAGAAGAGAAAAAAAAGTACAATTTATACATAAATAAATTTTAACATACAATAAAAATATATATACTAATAGGCTGGCCAAAGGGCAATATAAAATATTATTATGTACTTTCAAATATGTTCTAATATAATAATATATAATATAATTGAAAGTTTTGTAGATAATAAAATATTTTTTTATTTAATTTATAGTAAAGATTAATGAAATTATTATATTTTTTTTTAATGATCATAGAACTAAATATATTTTATTTCATGGTTAATATTATTTGAAAAAAATTGAACAATTGATAGAAATATTTGTGATAGTAATTAGATGATAAAAAGAGACGGCATTAACCTTGAGCGAAAGTTCTTGCGTCTCACCAACATCTCTGGAAGCTCAGCGGTAGGAGGAGGAGGAGGAGTGAAATTTACGTGTCCGTATGTAAAAATACAAACTGGGGCGCCTTTTTTAGAAAAAAGTGGTTGCTGTCTTCCACCACTATATATAATAGTTGAACCTCCGTTTACGAACACGCATTTGTGCTTCCAACAGTGAATGTGACACGATTCGTGGATAATTTCAAAACATTCCAAAAATAATACGATTTCAAATATGAAGACTATTGTAAGTACATTTGTTATTCTTTTTATATTTTAATAAATATAATAAATAACTTATTTTATATTTTATTACAATAGCAAAATATTAAAACTAAACATAATTAAAGCAATTATTTGGTTATAATTTTTTTTTTCATTTAACAGTTTAAAATATCTAATATCTAACTTATTTTATGAAAATTATTATTTTTATTACAATTGGTTAAAAATAATACCGATTATTATTTTACAGTCAAATTCACTAATCAATAATCACTTTAGTAATAATATCTAAATTTTTAAAATGTATTACTAATTAATTCATTCATTATAATAAAATATGTGAACCAATAATAGTAAATTTAATTAATAACACAATTTAAGTAAAACAAATAATATAATTATGAAAAACCGTATTTATTACATGAATTTTGACACTTAAAACTTTTATTTCTTTAAATATATAAATTTAAGTAACAATAATTATGCATTATTGCAAATTTTAAGAATAATATTATTTTACTTGAAGAATTTACTTTCTTACTTAAAAATCTGTAAGGAAGTCCTCTTCGAGACGTTTTTTTATTATTTCTTCTGTTGTTAATACATTGAAATTCAATATTTAGAGATATATTTGTTCTTAGTATGCAACATGTTCGATCAACAATAAATATAGTATCTACGACACATATTGCTTAATTTTTATATGTTAATATTAATTAAGTATACAATCTTTCAGAATCTAAGTATGTTAGATAATACACTATCTTTGAAATATAGACGTGCAAAGACTTGATCAAAATACAAATATCTAAATATATAAAAAAATAAGTAAACAAAGTTAGTATATATATTTCCATGAAAGTAAATTGTAATTTAATTATATTCAAGTATTAAAAAAGTTTCTTGTTTTGAAATATATTTTTATTGTAAATTATATTAAATTAATTTGTTAACTTTGTTATAAACAAAATTATATTCAAGTTTCTGAGAATATATGAAATGCTTAACATTCATCTAATATTATTTTTTTTGAATGACGATAATGGACTTTCTAAAATTTGCAAAAGGATTACCAGCACTTTCAATTAATAATCACTTATACTGATAGATAAAAGCAAGGAAGTGAATTTCTAAAAGCTTTTGCTTGTACAGCATTTCCATGCAGAGATGGATCTTTTTTTTTCTTTTGAGTAAAAGTAAATGCAAAAACGACCAATTTAGTTATGATTCGTTCCGTTTCCTTTCTCTTTGAAATATTCTGCAGTTGTGCAGTTAATAGACGTTCCACTATTTATAGAAAGGCACAAATTAACTGTAACGAAAAATAATCCGCTGAAAAAATAAAATGACACACAAACATGAAAAGCAATCCTTGCTGTAGAATTTAATTAGATTGTTTTTATTTTCACTTTCTACAAATATGTGAACGACTACTTATTTAGAACAAATCATTTGAATGTTTGGTGTGGTTGAGATTGTAATGACGAGATATACAAACAGGACCACTTTCGAATAAATGGGTATTTTGTCATTCCTATTCACGAGCAAAAGCAAACAGGATGGATGCAATATTACGTTACGTTAACGACCTCCTCTTACCGCGACTACAAAACCGGAACAAGTTCATTTAACTTCAGCTAGCAATTCGTAAAATAATGTGAAATTCAACTTAAGAAAACTTTCATTTTATTTTCTCGAATTATAAATGTATGGATTTCGATGAACAGATTTTCAATGTACAGATGGAATTGTTTACGGAAATATCTTTTCTTTTTTTGATGTAAGAATGTTTTAATTATCATCATTTAATTCCGAGAGAAACAAAGTCGATTGTGATGTTCAGCAGCTGTTGAATTAATTACTATAATCGACGATTTGAAAGTAATAAAAGCGTGAACGTTTAACTGATTGTTCATTATTGTTACTTGATTATAAAATTTAGTGTGTAATTATGTGACCATGCAATTAAATAATTATCCTTTTTCTTTTCTTTTTAGATCATCCTTGTGCTTGCTGTGCAATTTGCGCGTGGCGACTCGTCCACATCCGCCGCGCCAACCGAACAACCGACAAAACCGATCACTAAAGGACCTAATTCTATCCCAATTATCGTTCCGAAAGCCCCAACCTATTATGTTCCTCAGCACAGTCCACCGTACGTCCAATATATCCAAAAGCCAGTTTTTTTACCGCACCAACAACCTCAAGCTACCATGTTGATCATAGCTCAACCGGCTTTGGTACCACAGCATTTGGTTTACGGTCCGGCCGCCCAACAACTCTTGCATTACTTCCACACAAATCCACAAGCACGCTACAACCTCTTGCATGCTGCCTTCCAGCCACATCCAACGGTCCAGACTTACGCCCAACCGCAGCATTATCCTCAACCAAGTCCACCACAGAACTACCAGATCATCCCAAGCCCTCAGCATTTGCTCCCGGCGGCTCCACAACCACAACCACAACATCAACCTCAACCACAATTACAACCACAAGCTTACACTCCAGTTCAGTACAACCAACAACAACATCCAACTGATTTGCAACAAATTTCTCATTACGCAAATCTTGCTGCCCAACAATACGCTGGAACACCGATCAAAACTGCTCCACCAATCATCACCGGATTCGAAAATTTCACCCCCGAACAGCAAGCCCAAATCAAGCAACAACTCGGCGCGCATTTTGGAACTAATTTAACTCCAATCAACGGAAACTCGCTTCAAGCTGGTCCACAATTTGGAGCTAAATTTAGTACCGATTATGCGCAACAGGAACAGAAGCAAGAGCCACATCAGCAACAACCGACAGCATCCACGGCAAATTATGGTTCGAGTACCAATGTTTACAGCACTAAACAATACTCGAAAGCCTAATTGTTCTGTTTTGGCTCAGATCTACTTCTGAAACATGATTTATTGTTTTCATAGTACTTTTTACTCTAGTATTTAACAAAGTTGTTTTAACGTGTTTTTTGTTCTGTACATATATCCAAAGATTTCGTTAATTTATTTTTAATATGTTTTGTTATTGTTATTGTTCGTACTTTTATAATAAAACAAGTTTATCTTATTAGTATCTATTATTTATTATTAAATAACATAATTCATTTCGTTCATAAAACATCAGCATTAGCATTTGTATATGCTGATAAAATACCTTTAAATTCAAGTTAAACATAAATTACTTAATTATTATATCTTGCATTAGAAATTGGTGTTTCCAAAATAAATAAAAATCAACGTAAGGAAAGTAGTTTATATTTGTTTAAGAGATAAATGAAAGTTTTCTACTGTTAATCTATACCACTTTTTTATAATCACATTAGTAAACTTTCCTTTACTAGACAGTTATTAAAATTTATTATATAAAGAAAAACTTCAATCTCGAACAATTTTTTTTTATAATCATATTTTTGGAATTAGTAAAAAGCTATTATTAATTAACGTCAATCCTTTAAGTAGAATCCTATAGTAAATTTATTATTTTTAAATTAATAACTAATTGTAACTTAATAATAACGATTCAAATTATTGAATTTATTGTTTCGATCCTGTTTTGTCTATTTGATACAATTGACTATTAGATAAGTAATAAATTATATGAAAAAATATGAATCTCTCATTTTATCATAATTAATTGGATTGTAATCATTAAATTATTTATATTATTTGCATAATTTGCATATAAATTTAAATATATAGCTAAAAAACGTAAACTGTTAATTTATTGTAAACTATTTTGATATTATAAATTGTTATTATTATTCATAAGTATTATTTATAAACTATAAGAAAAAACATGTATGTGTGTGGAGAGTAACATAACATTGTTTATTTGGTTGCCTAGTTTATAACATATAATTTTCTGTTTTGTTGCTGCAAGAACATTCACAATATATCATCTTTATTCGAATCTGATTTGTAAATTAATAAATGACAAAATTCGATAAATTTCACATAAGAATAAAAAAAATAGTTTTATAGTTGAAAATAATTAATTTTCAAAACTTAATTATTAGAATATTATGTTACAATTAATATAATTAAATATATAAATTATAGGCGGATACACCTATAATCAGTAGCATTATTTCACAGATTTTTTGTTATATTTCATGTATGCAATCATTTTTGTAATCGTATTGAAACCGAAGTTAAAAAATATCTAAAAATGATACGAAATAATTAATTTAATATTTAATTTTAATGAAGATACTTTTATTGCTTTAATGATGAAAATAATAATGAAACTTTCTAAATGGTATTGATACATTAATCTTCGAATAATTGAAACACAATTCGATATTAATCATAGCGCAAGACATAAAATTATAATAAAACGAGATCGTGCGAGGTGAAGGCGTGTAATTGCAATTTGCAAAGACGGTGCAAAAACAAACATTAAAAACCATTAATTGCACATCATCCGTATGCATTAATAATGTCTGGTAGCAGAAATAACCAACCCATGTGGAGTAGATTTTTAAAGCAAGTCGCGAACTTTCTTCGCCACTCCAAGACATCGCTTTTTTTTCGTCATGCCTTGACCATTCCCTTTTGCAACAGATTTCACCAGACACATACAACGTCGTTCGCACATAAAGCAAATTGTAACCAAAACAACGAGAGCCACGCATGTTTTTTTCTCCTTCTTTCTTTTGGAGATGAAAAGGCGGCGGCGTTGCGTAAAACGTTGATTCTGTATTATGCCATTGAATCGAATTCAATATTATTGATTTATTCCAGTTGCTTGATTTGCGCGCAGCTCATAATTGGAAAGCTGCATACTGAAAGTAAGGCTTCTCATCAATAGCGGAAGGAAACATAAATTGAGTGTTATTAATCCGGTTTTGCTAAAAAACCAAATGAGATTTAAAGCTCATTAAAAGAAAATTATCTTCCTGCCTCGAAATAAATTAATAAACCGATTAATGAATCTTCTTATGCAGATTCGATTTCAATTTAACATCCAGAATATAAATGCGATTCGTGCATGGAATTAATTACACTCAATTTATCTGTAATGGAAGATTAATTCTATATGCACATGTAAATAAAATCTTCTTTACAGCATGTATTTATATAATAATTTAATTAATTAAAGAACGAAAGTTTTGATTCAAAAATAGTAGACAAGATTATTTTTTATACATAAATAATCAGTTACCACACAGTGCGGTACCAATTACCCGCACTATGCGAGCTATTGCTGTATTTCGTTTTAAATATGCATGATAAATGTAACTTTATTATATTTGTTTAAAGGTTTTCTTAATTAATTATCAGTTAGGAATACTAATGGATCCCCAATTTAAGTAAATATTGCTTAACTTTCATCAATTACGAAACATCAAGTAAATACAGTAAACACACTGAAATGGTTGATTAAACATGAGTGTCTAATTTGCATTGAGGTTTTTAACAGCGTTTGCAGCGTTTACAAACAGCACAAATCGTACGAAACGAAAGGCAGAAGGAATTCCTAATTGAGGTACATTCAAATTATTTCCTGAACAATTTCAATTTTATCTAATCTCGTAGTCGCAAATTCCTCATAAAGATTTGTGTTTTCACTTCCAGTACATAAGTTTTCAAGACCACACCTTCAAAAAATGTACAGAGATGATATATATTTTTTGTATTCGTCTGATCGTAGATTTCGTTTGGCCCAAGGCTGTAGAAAGGAACAAATTTAATTCACAAATCTTCGTCGACGACACAAATTACTTTATACAGAAGATTACACTAAATTAAATTTTAATGAAAGCACGTCACTTACAACATCATATAGAAATTGTGTAAATATATCTTAAAATATATACAGTGGAACCTCGCTTAACGAATTTAATCCGCTCCGAAATTTCCGGATTTTTACTCGTATAGTGAAACATATTCAAAAATACACATAAATTTTTACACAAGTTTTGAAAATGATGTAACTGGCGCGCAATCCGAGACTTCTCTTCTCATCATCACTCGTTATGCGAAACGTCGCTCGTTAAGTGAGTCATTTTTCTTACAATTAATTTTGCTCGTTAAAAGAAATGCTCGTTAAGTGAGGTTCCACTGTTTATTTATTCTCAGTTTTCGAACATAACATGAATTTTAAAAAATGCAATTACGTAAATAAATAATTCCAAATCTTGATGAAATGCTCGCATCGTGTCTGTATAAACATTTGCCAAATATGCTTTTGCAAGTAATTTTCCGAGTCGTACTTACACACCAAGCATACATGACAAGTTACTTGTGCAATCACGTAGCGTTAAAAATTTAAATGAAAAGAATTCCATAAAAAAAAATACTAGACTTTAATTAATGTATGCAGCTTTCTTTTAATATTTCTTATCGTCTAGACTACAGAAGGAATTTTATACTACTACTTTTTTTTTAAACATTTAATTGATTCATTGATTGACCGCGTTCCCAAGAAAAATGTCTACGTTTTTTGATAAATTTATATAAACTCGATGATAGTTTTTTTGACCAAATTATTTTACATCAATTATGTATGCATTAGTTGTATAACATACATTTGTTTAATTGAATTTTACCAAATTTGGCAGTTATTTTTCCAATAGAAAATAGAAGCATATAAGAAAGTGTGTTTTGTTTTAAATTTATAAATTATAAAATGAGAATATTCATATGCATATTTACAATTTAAATGTTGAAACCAAAATTCCATTATATTTACTTTTTGTAAAATAACATTTTTAATTATATATGTAATAAGAACTGTTAACAAATATATATGTTAACTTGTTGATTTGTTTGTATTTTGCATTTTAATGCTTTCCGGTTTACTTTTACTTGTTTAATTAAATTTCCCAATTATTTCAATGCTTCTTTAGAATAATAAATGTTCAGATAATCACATAAACTGCGACGATCGTTACCGATTCTAACGAGTAATTTAGGAAGGATGTGATTCGATTAATTCAAAAAGGAAATGATCTGAGAGAACGGCGAAAAATAATACCTGGCATTATCACGGCATGAAAACATGCAGCGGCCATTAGGAGGTCACGTTATCTCGTGACGATATTGACAGTAAACTTGCAACGTAATTCGAATGGGTAGTGAATGTTAAAAAGGCATTCATTTACCCATCAAATGCTTGAGTTATTCAGCTGCGATTAGCATTCCATCGGATGTTGCTAAATATTCACTAGAGTTAAAATATTCCAAAGAAGGTTATTGAATTGATGAAATGAAAGTAATTTGTATGTTCGGTGAATGTATTTATATAAATGACAACCAAATGCGTTAATTTCATCTGGTTGTTAATATTTGTCATGAACATAGTAGGATGAAAACGAATTAATGTTACATGAAAAATGATTCAAATAATTATGATGATCAAAATAAAGCTAAGCAATAACCAAAAGAGAGCTAATTTAAAAACACGTCTTTCACTTTTGTAATTGCCTTGATTAACTAGAAAAATTATCCGTCATGATGACTAATTCAAGTTTATTTTGTAAAATTATTAGTATAGTAATACTTCGCATAGTACGGCTTCGATCAGTCCGAATTCATTATAATCCGGTTTAAAATTTTTATTTAATTAGAGGAATTTCTGTACATTTGTTAATACTTAAAACAATTCGTTCCACATATGCATATTTACAGATAATGCATCAACTTTCAAAAATGTTTTTTTTGTGTGTGAGTATAGAAAGTCCATTTGAATATAATCCAAAAACTGTATCAATTGTTTCTGATCATAGTGATTCGTGGTTTGCCAGTTCATTGTTTGCGTCCAATTATTTGAATCTCAACATACGATCTAAATGCGTACGTTCATCGAATTTTTAATATAGTGAAACAATTGTGTTTTCTTTTGTAATTATACTTCGAAATAAGCAAAAAATCTTAAATTATCCGTGAAAAACTGAATTTGTTCAAAATGTTTGAATGGCTTGAAATTAGTTTATATAAAGTGTAAAAGTAAAAAAATGTGGTAGATTTTGAAATATTTGCTGTCTCTGTCTTTTAGTTTCCAACAATAAAATAGACACATTATATAGAGAAAAAAATGTAATTATTTCATATTCTTTCCGTGAAGCATTTAGAAAATAATTATAAATATATCTGTTCTCTACGTGAGTATGTTCCATGTATTGAGTATCATAATTGATGTGTTCCACTTAAAATATGTAGTGCACAGGGTGTAGTACATTTAATTAATGGTCCAGTGAGCAGTTTATAATTTGCTTAATGACCTGTATTATCTTCTAGTTGCAAAGCTTAAAATGTCTGCAAAATGTATTTTTTTAAATTTGTATTAACTCTCACAAATAACTTAAAATTTGAACTTTAAATTTATTTTTGAAGTACACATTTTCAAATTCTATATATATATTAGAAATTGGAAAAGTGACACACAAATTCTTGAATCCATAAGTATTTGTAATTTGATGAAAGCAAATCGAAAAGTCCAATTACATCAAACATATTCGTGTTCCAAAAATTGTATGTTTACCTTTGAACTTAATCTTTCCTACTCAATTTTATAATTGCTGCTCAATTATGTCCAGTATTTCTTTTTCTCTTTAAAAAGTATAGTTCAATATCAAATATAAATCTTCTCCTTTTTTTTCTATGACTGCAATTATATCTACATCTAGTAAACCCATTTTTTTTCTTTCTCTAAATAATTTCTCCTGTATATTATTGCGAGTATAATAACACATCAAGATCAATAAGAAAGTAGTAATTTCTAAAATTTGCACGTCATTACACTTAAACTTTATTTCTTCTTTCAATAGCTTCTTTCCTTTCCATTATGCTCCCGTCAGAGGCCGTTTGAAATTACACCGCGCATCAATCCATTTCTTTTTATATAACAACAATTATTTATATAACACGAGATGACCATGATAGAAAAAAGATGTTTACGAGATCCGCCTCCTGAACCAGTTTTACGCGCATTTCACTTTCGTGTCTATACATACAAACACACCCATCGAATCCAGTGGATACATGCAAAATATCCAATAACCATCAATTCTCTATGTCGAAATATTACACTTTCAGTCATTTCTGTCTCGAAGCGACTAACCTTACACCATCAACGAATTAAGATAATTGAATAGTTTAGTAAACATAATTTTTCATGATTTTTATATTTTTCTATCTAAATTTTAATGTAACAAATTTTGTAATAGATTTGTTTCTCTAAAACTATTTACGTATTTTACTATAAATTATAATATAGTAATGTAAATAAAATATTTATTTTAGTATCTATATATTTTATATAAGAAGCACTTACCTTTAATACAAGCTTAACCATTATTTATACAATACATTAAATTTATATAATTACGATGAACAGGAAGACGATCTTAATACACTTGCGGCGAATATACACTTGCAATTAGCATATAAAGTAGAATTGGCTTTTCTGCAAAAACCGTAATGAGCATTGCAATTCTTCAATTTAACTTTCCCATTTGAGTTTGTCATGTTTTTCGTACGGTTTATGCAAACTCTGCTTTTTCCATATATCACACTTAATAGTCGAGATTTTAAGATGAAAGTGACATGATATTTACATACATTTCCTCGAATTTTACGAAACGCTCGTATTTCACGTTTTCACACTTGAAGAACTTCGGCCGAGTGAAAAGTGTAATTTTCTTTTTTTAAAAAAATTGTACGTGCATAAAAATAAGAACTCTCCCCGTATCATTACAGATTTCCAAAAACTCACGTACAGTGGAACGTTGGTGAAAAAACAACGCGAATTTTATTTGCAAATGCATTTGTATTTGATTAAAAAAAACGTATTAGTATTCGAAGCGTGAAAATTAAATAAGCTTAACTTCAAAATACAGCGAGGACAATAGAAATAGAAAGAACTAGTTTTGATTTCATTAAAAGTGTCATTTGGAGTAGATTTATTACGGCCTCATTTCTCGACAATTGTTTCTTTTTTATATAATTTATTTTTATTGTCTCTTATTTACTAATGAAAATTAATGCTGTTTGTGGCACTTGCGAACAGAATTTAGCAACTAATCCTGGCGCAAATAAAAAATTACTCTTATTAGACCGTAACTGAAAGTTAAAAAAAATATGATTGAACGATCATCATGGAACTACCTATGAAAAAAAAGTACATAGAAATGACTCCAATTTTTATTCAACACACATCAGGCGAAATATGAATCAAACCTAATTTTCTAGTCGTAATTTTTTGTTTTTGCTACTTTTTACTATAGAATATTCAATGATGTTAGTAGATAAATTATGGTAAAAAAAATAATGTGTTGTACTTCGAGAAAGTGTAATAAAATGAAGGAAGGAAATGAGTCAAGTAAACGAAGTTCGTCGAAGTAGAAAGTTAAACGGATCTGTAGTCCACCAAGCCCTATTCCTGGAAACCTCAATCACACAGATTATTAAGAAGAATTCATAAAGTGATGAATATTTAACCTATTATTGTAACGCATTTTACTATAAATTATAGCCTTCACATAATATATGCGAGCTAAGAATACATTGTGTGTGTTACAGCAAATTTCACACATTCACCTACAAGACTTTTACAGTATCGAACGTTTCCATTTTACGCTATGCCCAAATTGCAAATTAACGTTTATTTTAATGTAGCTGGTTTTTTTTTGAAGTGTGCATGCGATTTAATTCCATTGTAGAAATTGAAGTTTAATTAATGCTCCGCAATTATTTTGTATTCTCTTTCTCTCATTACGGATCCGAAAAGGGAAAGAGGCACAATTTCGAAATTGTGATGCTCCAGGGAACGTCCGTCGTTTACTTTCAGTGAAATTATCGATTGGAAAGAACGGGCGAAATAAAATAAAGCGAAAAGTAAATTGAATGAAAATAGGATGTGCGTGCAAACAAAGAGCGAAACCACAATCAAATGTAGACAATAGTGCAAAGAGAATGAAACAAATATGTTATTATTAATTGATGTAATAAAAATTCAAAGTAAAGAAAGCGAAAAATGGTACTACGTTTGTTTATATAGCCTTGAGGAGATATAGATTCATTCATTTCCGCTGGCATTAAGATGCCTATTATTTAAATGTCGGACAGGAAATGGCGTTTGTGTTCATTAATTTAATTGTTTATTATGATTTTGTTATAAATGATTTATTCGATTTTTAATATGTGAAAACCGGAACAATCTTGAACATGAAATGCGTTAAAAAATACGTTCATTAAAGACTAATTGTATTAATTGTTAATAATCTTTATGCTTTCAAAAACTATTAATGAAAAAGAAATTAACATTGATTAATTAAATTAGAAAATTTAGAAACAAACTAAATTTTAATTGAGCAAAATAAAAACAAATTCTATTAAATTAGTACACAAAATTAAATTATTCATAAATAAATGTTTTGTTTTTTCGTTTATGCAGTTAATTTGGCGGAATTAAATAAAATCTTCAATTTTACTAAATCATTCTTTAAACTACTTAATATTTGTTATTACTACAAAAGTATGTATGTATCGTTCATTCTACTCTATACAATTATTGTAGTACAAATTATAGTGTATGCAACTTGGTTTAAAATAGTACCATATGTGTGTGTCATACAATTTTCAACTGAATATTTAGAAACAAGCATTGCAAAATATTTACAATCGTAAATCACAAACGCGATATTATGCAAATATACCTCGTTTCCTTTTTCGTTCAATTTACTTGGTTATTAGTAAAGTTCATAATAAAATCGAAACTGGAGAAAAACGAATTCGCTATAAACTATTTAGGTCACATCGCAATGAGTAAGGGCCATGAAATCTGAATAATCGCACTTTCATTTCCTTAATTACACTAAACTCCCATTGATGAATATCATGCATTCTTATTTTATATTTATATATTGTTGTATTTGCTGTCATGCTGCACACATGTCTCATTCACACTTACAATAATTAAAATATTTGATAATAATCACGGAAATAAATAAAAACAGATAAATATTACAACAAAATTATTAAATATGAATATTTTTTTTCATTTTTTATTAATTTTGAACATATATTTTTTTGTGTAATTACAATACAAATGTGTAATTGTATTAGACCTTTTTACTTAGTTTATTTAAAAATTTATTAGAAAATATTTTATCAGCTTAATTTGAAACAAGATTTGAAATATAAATTATTTATTGTAGATATAGATGTTTTTACTAGCACATATTGTATTTTTCATTGATGATATGAACTTCAGTAATAAAGACTATTTTTGAAAACTTAACTAACTATTTGAATCATTTAATTATTAAAACAATAACCAGAAATTAATGTACAAAAACAAATCATTCAATAGGTTGATATTAAATATTTATGATATTGAGATCGTTGCAGAAAAATCTAAATCAATTTGTATTTAATTCCAATGTAAATTAGCTTAGCGAACGCAACTCAAATGATATCGTAAAGCTGATACGTTTCAAGTAGTAAAAGGAAATTTCTAAATCTGAAATTTATGAACGCACTTAAAGCGTGAGTGAACACGGGTCGATGATGTATTTCTCTATTCCTCCTTGATCTTCTTTGAGGACGCGTTGATTCGAAATGCAATAAATCACGAGGAAATGTTCGAAATTCCGGGCGGAGGAGAGAATTAGAGTAGAAGTGGTCATCTTTTGCATTTAGTACCGAAGCGGTAGTAGGGTGGACCCCGTTCACTACGACCGAGACTACAAATGTGCGACCGCTTCAAAACTGATCATCACAACCATTGGAACACTTTACAAACAACTCCTCTTTCAAAACTCTTTTAACATGGTAAGTGAACATACTATTTATTTTATATAAAAACGCATCTAAGAAACTCATCATTTCTCAATTTAAATAACACTTTTTATACACATTAAACCAGTAATTTTAATGCTAGTATTTCTTAATTTAATTTAATAATATTACAATTCATGTAATGCTTCAAAATAAGTTAAACATATTTAGAAATATTTATTCATTCATAGCTTCATGTGCTTCATTTAAAACTTATTTCAATTACATTTTGATTTAATAAAATTTAAACTTTTTTTGAAGCTGTAACAGTAATAATAAAATATATTAATAATTTTATTTATTGCAAAAATTATAAAAAAAATAAGTACTTATTTCCTAGTATTAATTACAGATAAGATAATAATTATTATATAACATATTCTAAAATAAATAAATAAGTTTATACTGCATAATTATGCAAATTAAACAAATAAGAAACTTCATACCATATGTATAGAGAAAACTGGAGTAATTGTTAGCTTATATAATGTTTACAATAATGCATTTAACATGTGAAATATTTAAAACTATTCAAACTAAAGAACAATACGCATATTTAAATAAATCAATTAAACTTGTCGATATTGAAATAATTACATATTTTTATGTTTATTTAAATCTCTTTCATTTATTCATATTTATTTATAAAATTTAACTCGCATGATGTGTTTATTAAGGACATATAAAAAGTCTTTATGGAATTGTACTTTTCATTTCGCACTTTCGCTCATAAATTAACAAACAAATCGTTCCATCATCGTAAATTACAAGTGCAATGAAAACAAGAAAAGAAACTAAAGCAACGATTTCATCCTTAACCATTCCATGTTCGAATTTTCCCTCGGACATTCTTTTGTAATTGTTTTGGAGAGTTAAATTACATAACCGTCATTTCTGAAAAGAATGTTAAACCTTTAAATATTTACTATAACAGTTGTTATGTTAACTAATCAAAGTTTAGAATAAACATTTAATGTTAATAATATTGTTCATTAAACTTCAGGCCAATTTAATTATTTTTTTTTATAAAAAAGGAAAAATTATAAACAATACATCGAGATGTAATAATAATTGCATTTTCTATAGATGCAATTATATGAAAATGGAATCACATCAGTTTTCTATTCTATGTTAGTGCAGAAACTGATGTTATTAGTTCTACTAGGAAATAGATTCTTTTCTTTTCGATATTAATCGCTTTCCTTATAATTTCATCCACCGAGAGAGCACACAGAGTAAATAAAGTGTAATTGCTCTGGTTCAGCGTACAATTTTATTAGAAGATCGTTAATAATCACTGAGCTCCCACATAATTATATACGATCTACTCATTCCACGATGCGGAAACCAAAATTGCAATTTGTTAAAATTTTAATATAATTACCGGCTTCCTCATGTAATTAATGAGGTGTTACATTTAATTGGTAGGAAACTGTTAATGCTTAGTAAATTATTTATTTTTGTGTGAGCATTAATTTGAGAATTTTGTGCGAATTTAATGGATGCATATTATTGAATCGTTCTAATTTGAATGCGTGCTTAACCCGCAGCATTTGCTCCGTAATCTTCGATTTCTCTTCTCCGTGAATTAGATAAATTTCTAGTTAAATCTGCGTTTTATTGAATAACATAATATTAACGTTAATGTAGGAGTATTATGCAATTGAAGTGCATAATTTTCAAATAAAATTTTATATTTACTGTGCGAATCTTAAATAGTTTCAATATAATAACTTTTTTTGTATAAATTAGTAGTGATTGACTAATTATTAGTATTCTGTGAATAAATGGAAGTATTTAATTATAATAAGTTTTTTTTTGTGAAATTGAGTTTGATTATCCAATTATTAGTATAGTGCAAATAATTGTATTAAAATGGTTTTGCGAGTTAAGTCTAACTACTTAATGGTTTAATCGGTTGGATAAATCGGCAATTACTGCAGAAGATTGGCCAGACAGTTTGAGGTGATGGCACAAAAGTACGACCTTAAAGGAAAAAAATAAGCACACAAAGGATAGTGAAAGTGCAAAATCCTGTTAACGCGCGCCTGTCCAATATTTCATCAAAAACTTGTACCGCAAGAAAGAAAGTGAAAGTAAAGCATTTTCTTTCTTCGTATGTATATAAACAAATTTGTATCACTTCCCTTTACATCGAGGAAGAATTTTCTTTAGTGAATTTTAATGAGGTTATTTCAATTTTATTTTATAGAATCCGTCATTGGTGTTTTTGGTTTTGTTGGTGGCGATGGGAGTTGCGGCAAGAGAGAAGCAGATTAAACTGGAAGACATAGAAAGGGACAATTTGCAAAGTGAACGGAAAACGAAAGAGGTGAAGCAATACCTTTCGAGGCCGCAAGCCACGCCGACACCAAAAATGCAATATGGATTTGTGCCAATTAAAGCGCCAGTCAATTACATCCCTCAAGCTTACCAAGAACAACCACAGCAGCAGTATTACCTGGCTCCTCAGGCGTACACACAACCACAAACATTCCCGGGTCCTCCAGCCCAACCACAACCTTACGGTCAAACCAGAACACCGTATCAATATCAACCACAATACTCGGAGGGTTACAGACCGCAAACAAGATATGAGCAAGTGCAGTACGTGCAACCAGGAGTTCAATATGTTGTGGACAATCAAATACAGCAAACGACCCAAGCCCAGAAATATTACCAAGTACCGCAATATTACTACGTTCAACCTTACCAAGCGGCTTCTAACAACATTCAAAGCGTGACCGACAGCAAGGGAAATGTACAGTACGTGATGTACGTACCGGCAAGTTATTTGAAAGATCAAAACTACGCCTCTTTGACGCAACCACAGCAATACGCTACACAACCAGAGCAATATGCCACCCAACCAGAGCAATACGCTACCCAACCACAACAATATGCCACGCAACCTGAACAACCGCAACCTCAGCAAGAAGTTCAATACCAATCCGAACAAAAGTACCAGTATCAACCCGAACCTCAAATCCAAACTCAACCCAAATACACTCAAATCCAATACACCGAGAAACCCAAATACTCAAAACACCCAAAATCCTTGCTCGACTCTTACGTACCATCCGTACTGCAATACCAATTTTACAAGCAGCACCAAGACAACACCAACTCGATCAAGCAAATCCCGAAAATCAGCGTACAACCTAATTTGGGAAAAAGCGAATACGTCAAGAGTTTCAAGACCATCCAGGATGCAGGAAGCCATTTAAATTACAGACTTCACAGTCCCGCAGCATACATACCGCAGAGTGTGAAGCAGTAAGTTTGATTCTAAATTGAAGGGAGTCGAGAAAAATGTACATATTTAATTAATTGCCGATGGTATTTTTATTTTATTTCGGAACGTTAAACAAATAGAAAATAAATTATTAATATAATGTCTTACTTGTAATATTTCTAAGTGTTTTATATATGAAATATAATCATGATTTTTTCATACATTAATGTTTGTGGTTACCAAAAAAAAGTATTTTTCTAAATAAATCTATTTTTATACCTTATATTGTTATACTGTGTATGTTATATACTTGTTTTTTTTTTAATAAAACTTATAAACAAAATATTTGAATTTACTGTTACCTTATAGTCCTCTGGAACACACTGGAAAACAATTTATTTTTATAAATAATGTATACTGAAGTATTCAATGAAATTATTTACAAATGTTCGTTTCTAATAATACTAAGAAACAGCTTTATAAACTAATATAACCAAAATGTTAGTTAAATATCTTCCTAAACTTTAAATTTGAACAACAAAAATCAATTATTACAAATCGAAGTTATAAAATAATAAAATTTAAAAGTAAACAAATATAAATATATATATGTAATTCCAATCATATGAAAAAACATTACACAAGGATAGTGATCATAGATTTTAACGCACTTGGTTTGCAATTTTATGAAATCTATTATTATATGTTTTGTTAATATTAGTAATTTCAACAATTCTATATGAAAACTAGTTAAGTAAGATCTCTTCTTCTTAAAGGCACTTGATTCTTCTTCTTCTTCGAAAATCCAACAGTTCCATCTACAGACGGCGGCGCTACACTACATTTGTCTCATTACTTCCGTTTAAGATATTTTGGAATTCTTATTAAATAATGTTTGGTATATGCAATACCAATTACATAATTGTAATGAATGTTGCATTTCATAATTACTTAATGAGTTATAGAGTTGTCTATATTATTATTAATTATCACGTCCCAATTTCAGTCACTTATTATATGCTTATTGACCACACTATATTTAAAAAAAACTTTAATTAATTTTTGTAGAAGACATTTTGTTATTTTGTGACTAATTATGTTGTTATTAAAATTATACATTTTATCTATAAATGCACAATTCATAAATATATAATTAATATAAACAATATTAAAATTTATAAATACATAACAAATTGGAACGAATAAACTTTGTTTTAATTATAAATGTTATATAATGTTGTGAAGAAAACAAATATTTTAAAATGTTGTACATTGGGTTGCATAGATCGTTGAGATGTATGTATAGTTTTTCAAACAATTATTTAAACATACAAAAGTCGTAATACCAATGATAATAGTAAAACTGTTAATATGCTTTGATTATATCTATTAATATATATTTATATTAATTTAAAAAAAAATACCTTTTGTAGAAGATTCCTTTATAAGGAAACCCCCTGGTTAGAATAACATCCCTTATGTAACCCTATAGGAACGTCATGTTTCGCTTCATGCAGCACTGACCTACCTGCATCCTATCGATTTATATTCTAAAAGTACATGTCAGACATGTTGAATTCCTAAATGAAGTTGTTTATATCAAATATTGTGTATAGAATTGTGTTCTGGAATGTAATTGTATGTTAATTGACGATACAATAATATGGTAAGTTTTAATTACATACGTACGGATGTATTAATTATTATGTGAAATATAAAAATTAACTTTAAAATTAATATAATTTGAATTGAAACGTATATCTGATGTTTCGAATATTCTGTAAGCAATACAAGTTTTTAGTAGAATGGAATATTTTATATTAAATATTTATTTGTGAAAAAAAAACTATAAATACTAATTTGGGGTCAAAATATTTTAACATACCGGTAAACATGTTTATAACTTTAGGTCTGAGAATATTTTGGAAAATTTCATAGAAAAATAATACGTTTAATTAAGTCTGAATAAATTAATTATGTCATTCATTTCTTAAATGGAATTTAGCTCATTTTAGTAATAATGTAATAAAAATAAATAGGATAATAAATATTACTCTATGCATTGTTTCGTCCAATAATTATATAAAGAAATATATTTGTTTATTTAATTTAAAATATTTAATTAATATTGATTCTTATTAGCAACTCAAGTAACTGAATATTATTATTATTAATTATAAGTTCGTTATAAATAATATAAAATGTTTATTATTTAATAAATAATAATTACATAATAAATCACGAACAAAATAAATGTGTATTTTGTGCACGATTTATAGGTCAAGTTTAAATTATTCTGAGAGACAAACAACTGTCTTCTGCAGACTAAACAAATAACACAAAACATTATAATCTTATTATTTTAATAAACAAATGCTTTGTTACTCATAATTGCTTTTAATAATAATAATACATTGTACTAGTCTTATATCATAAATATGACATAAAAAAAATGTTTTTTTTTGTAATTTAATTTATAAGGTTATAATTAGATACATAATCTAATTTAATTACATAAAAAGAGGGCGACTAATAGCCAAATGGTTAAATCGCCCAACCCACGAGCTAGTGGGCGCTGGTTCAAATCCTGGTAAAGCCAGGCCCTTTGTGAGCCCTCTCGGTGCTTGCAGCAATAGGGCCATCGTTCATCACAGATGAACAGTGAAATGGATCTTTAGTCGATGGACGATAGTAGTGTTTTAAAAAAATCATCATAATGGTAACTATCCACCGGAAAAGATTATCCAATTAATGTCAACCGCGATCTTAAATTTATTCAATATTCACAATGATGAACAGATTGTGAATAAAATTATACAACATAAAAAATAATCCTATTTGATATTTGTATGTCATCGGTCTTTGGAACTTGTATGGATTTTGTAACAAATTTTCTCCATTATAAAAAATATGTATTCTAAAGCAAATCAAAAATATCTGTTCTTCTGTTTATACATATAGAGTATTTTTTTTATATTAACCATTAAGATATGACGCACGTATAAGATCTTAGGAGCCCCAAGCCTTGACATAAAGTGAAAAACATTCATTAATTACAAACTAGTTCCGTTCCAAAAAGTTGTTCGTAAGTCGAGGGAATTTTAAAAATTTTAAAATATATTTATTTTTTAATAATTACGTATTACTAACTGCATAAATTTGAAAAATATATTAAAATAAACAAAATACTTACAGATACTTTTCAATGTAGACATCACAATTATTTAATAAAAAACGACAAAAGTGCAACGAAACAGATAGTACATCTTCTAAGGATATTATATTTTGTTAAAGAAATTATCAATTTTTATTCGGACAGTAATCCTATTTGCTAGAGTATTTATATGTCATTGGTTTTTGGAATTTGTATGGATTTTGTATGGATTTTGTAACAAATTTTCTCCATTATAAAAAATATGTATTCTAAAGCAAATAAAAAATGTCTGTCCTTCTCTTTAAACATATAGATTTTTTTTATATTAAGCATTAAGATATGACGCACGTATCAGATCTTAGGAGCCCCAAGCCTTGACATATTCCCTATCGTTTTAAAATAAATTAATGTTTTTAATTAATTTTCATTCTTTTTTTTGCCAGCAACTTCCCAATAAAATTTACATATGCGCTTCAATTATCCTAAATTAGACATTAAATTAAAATATTATAATAATAATAACAACTCTCAAAATAAATAGTTTCGAATTTAATTATGAAACAATAACAATATAGATATGTAAAATGGAAGATTGACGAAAAAAAGCAGGAGTAGGAGAACAAGAGGGTTTTAATTAGGTATTGGATTAGGGATTATGTGGGATATTTAAATTTGGGAAGGATATTTGGGTTTAGAGGGGCACAGAATTTAGAGAGAGAGGCTAAGTTGGACTGTTTGGATTTAAATTTCAAAGAGAGGGAAAGGTATCGGTCGAGGTGAAGGACTATTTTGGTTTTGGAGTAAAGGAGGTCATTAGGAGGATTGTGTAGACTCTACACAATCCTCTACACTGTAGAGGATTAATAGGATGTTGTATTTTGGCGATGATACGAATGGCGGAACGTTCTGATACGGACAGGTTCAAAATATTGTATGTTTACGTATATGATAATAAATCAAGTATTTACAACTATAATTGGTGTTTTCAATCTGATACTTTTATTTCAAAGCTTTTTTTAGTGATCTCTTATAATTACATCTGACAGTATTATTCCGTTGTTTTCCCTGTTGTAGTTAATATGTTATTAATGAAATTTTAAAAATATGTTGTTTAAATCTTGATGCAACAATAATTGATATATTCATTAATAAAATTATTTGTTATGTACATAAGTTATATGTAGGTGTGATTTATTTAAATATTTTAAATTATAATATACGATATTTAAATGTATTATTTCAAAAGAGTTTTTTGTGCCTAAATTTATTGCATTTCTGAGCAAATATGAATGTTATAACAAATAATTTTTTGTTGCTGCATTTTTTTTAAAAGACCCTGACAATTTATAGACGATCAACCAAACGACTTTCTATTTTGTGCTTTACCGATCTTCTATTATATAAAAAAAAGGAACGAAGGATAAGTGGATACGTTTGGTTATCTAAATCAGGATTTCAACGGAACACCTTGTAATTCCTGAAATTCGGGGATAGCTGTATTTTATTCCAGTTGTTCACTTATTATTTTCTCGCGGAACACAGTTTGGGAAACTCTGATCTAAACGATATCTCCGGTATTCAAGTTATTATATACATAGAGAAAGTCTTGCAATGATAGGTTACACGAGAAAATGATATCGTTGTAAAGCTGAAATTTTATTTTGTATTCATTTCTCCGGCGAAAGTCGCATCCTCGATGCACTCAAGTGCATTTTCTTCGTACACTCTCTGCCGAGTCAGTTAGTGCCCTACATGCGTTGAAAACGTACAATAATTTGAGAAACTGGTAAGCTTTTCCTGTTTAAACTGCAAACAGTAATCATTTAATTCTGAAATATTTACAATGCAAATCAATACAATAGCATTGAACTTGGAAGGTTAAGGTCAGCGTTATTATAAAGATAATTGTGTAAACAGATTTCTTAATATTATAATAAATTACACGCAGCGTCAACGACGCATGCAACTCAGTATCAGAGATTAAGTTATACCATATTATTTCATTTATATCATTATAAAAACTTGATGATTTTAATTTTATTGCGACGTTCATAATAGATTACTGTAAAAAAAATAATTAACATGTATATTTTGATTTCGAATTTTAATTATCACATCTCGTTGTTTGCAATGGCGGAACTTTCAATATTTAGCGGGGAGACAGCTAAATATTATTCGGGCCATTGAATTTCGGGGCACAATGCAAACAATTGTTTTTACTCAAACAAGACAAAAATATTTCAGTAGCGTTTGGGAACCGCTCCGCTGCTATTGACTCTATAGTATAGAGTATATAAATTATAGGTTGTTTCTAATAATTATTTTCTAATTTTGTGTAAATTATGGAGCAAACAATATTAATATTAACTATATTAATTTCATGATGATATTCATAATTTATATTCGTTTTCTTAATTCGTAAGATTTTTGACATTGAAAAGTCTTATCTTTAAAGTATAACAGACAAAATACTGTAATTATAAATTACGATAATACTTTTTTCAGACGTATTTTGTGATAGATTATTGATATTAATTGATGAGTCTGCAATAAATTAATAATTACATATATTATTATGTATTCTTCCTCCCCACATTACTAATAATATTTCATTTTTAAACTGTATCTGGCAAGGAGTAAGTAGTTTTGAAAATGTAACAAAATATAACAATAAGCGGAATATTTTCCCATTGGAAACCTTCCAAATTACATAATATAAATAAATATTAATTTTAACAATATAAAGAAATAACTAAAAACGTTCTTCTAATTTTAGCCAGCAAGATCAAACAATCACTGGAAGGAAAAATCTATTGCAGAGAAATATTTTTAGATATTACAAAAGCATTCGACAGTTTTGCACGTTTTTCAACATTAATTATGATTGGAAATTATTTTTTAATAAAACAACTTTACAAAATGATTGATTGTGTATTTGTTTTGACAAGTTTCAAAAAAAAAAAACTTGTATCATATTTTTGTACATTTAATTAACAGAAATAATGAACATCTAGAACATAATTAAATCGCATCAGTTATGTAATTCATCTTATATTTTTTTTATTCAATTCTATTTAGGTCTTTTATGTATTTTTATCAGGATAATTACTATGCACGTGTATAAAATATTATTGTTTATTTATTCAGACTTTAATAGAAATTACATTTTCATGAGCGAAAATTATGCAGTCAATATTCTTAATTTTATTATATATTAATTATTTGTTTATATGGACTATACATGTTAATCTCAAGGTCTGTATTATATATTCTCCTTATTAACCTCAACCTTAAGCAGAAAAGTAACAATTCCACAGTTATATATAAATGTTTGAGTTATTTCTTTCATGTCATATTTACTTTAAAACAAATAAATATATTTTATATACAATATTTTCCATCCAAGAAATATTTAAACAACGTTCTGATAAGTAACTTATAAATATTTTTTTTCATCACATCTCATTTTCTTTATTGTTGTCATACTTGTTTGTACATTTTCACTTGTTTTATAATATTTATATTTTCTCAGAAATTCAGTATTTTCTTATTTACATAATTCCACACAGGTAGACTGTTTTTTTACAAAAAAAAAGTCCTTGTTAAAATTATTTTTATTATTAAATCATGTAAAGCCCCATTAGTAACTAAAATATATGGACTTGTTCAACCATTGAAATGGAAAAACAGGCTCCCTAAATCTACAGGTTTATGATTGTCTAGACTTCACATTTCGTTGAACCTCAAATATATACCCTGTTTGCACTGAGTAAACTCATAATATCTGCAGAGTTAAATAGCTTCAAAATCTCTGTGTACATTGCAAAATCATTTTCATTACTTCAGTTATTGTTATTTAAATCTTTGTTCCCTCAAAAAAAAAAACAATTCTATTACCTATTACTTGCGTCATTTGTATAATTAAAACAACCAATTTAATGTTTATTCATTTACCGAGAGTTGGTCTACTGCATTTAACCAATCACAGACAATATCAACATTAATGTATTGAGAGCATCTAATTTGAATAATATTTATATTTGTTTATGCAGAATTCATACAAAAGAATTTAGTTACCAAAAGGCAGTTGACCGCAAAATTACACAATTGCGGTAAGTAAACATGTTATAATAAATTTTATAAAACAATTTAATGAAAAACAATATACATTGTTACATTAATCTTTATCGAAACAACAAAATGTTATTAATAAAATATTACAATAGGTATTTATCGATACTATGGAGAATTTGTATTATGTCACAGTACAGAGGTGGCCAAACTGTGGCTCGCGAGCCGCATGCGGCTCTTCAAAAGTCTTATTGAGCCACAACAAAACACAAATGTTATATATATTTTATATTATGATTGAGATTTTTTAAAAATTATTATATCAAAAAGTTTAGATGCGGATCTTGCTGCAAAAATTCTGGCCACCCCTATCATAGTATATTTATTTTACAATATATTCCTGCGAACATTATTTAATTCTAATTGCGGTTGGCAATTGTTTTTTTTTGTAAATTTTCCAATGAAAGTTATTACCATTATTTTCTTCTTTTAATTTGTTGATTGGCTGTCGTCTTGTAGGTTAACTTCAGTAGTATATGCTCTGCGATTCCACTAATTCGTTTGACTGTGAATCTGCTGACTGTCATTGTCCATCGACTTTGCTGAAAGTCCATATGCTGAACCTCATTCATTTCACTATGAACGATGATGAACGATGGTCCTATTGCAGTACCGAGGGAGACATGGCCAGGATTCAAACCGGCGTCTACATACGGCCATTAGTCGCCATACTATACAGATATAACAATATTAAATAGAATTAAGTTGAACAAACGAAGCAAAATTAAAACATTCGATAGTATTTGTTTTATTTTGTTTCACTAATTACCAATGAAAATGTCTGATTTTCCGATAACCGTAAATGACTTATACGCGGGACGTTTTCGATAGATTAAAATGGTATTAGCCGAATTTCACTTTCCAGTTTGGACAATCACTTAATTTCTAAAGCCGCATCTAATATGTTGTCAAATTAAAAAAAAATCTTATACAATTTACTTAAAATCCGATCGGAATATATCAAGTTACATCATTCCTGTCTTAAAATATTTTTTTTTGTATAATTGTTAATTGGAATTCCATTACGTATTTAATGGTTGACATTGACAAACATATTTTCTACTATATTTTTGTTGTTATTATGTTAAACATAGTTAATTAATCTATTGACCGAAGTCTTTCCGTATTTTTTTAAAGGAAATTAATTAATAAATTCCTCATTAAAAATGAGTTCGCTTTTTTTTACTTTTACCAACTGAAATTATTTAATTTGTTCTAAAACTGTCCGATCTGCAAAAGTTTCCATGCGTTGGTCTTGCACATTACTCTCACTCTTGGAACTCAATGATAATTTTGTGAAAATTATGGAGCAAACAATATTAATATTAACTATATTAATTCCTTGATGATATTCATAATTTATATTCGTTTTTTTAATTCGTAAGATTTTTGACATTGAAAAGTCTTATCTTCAAAGTATAACAGATAAAATACTGTAATTATAACTTAAGATTGATGAGTCTGCAATACATTAATAATTACATATATTATTATGTATTCTTCCTCGCCACATTACTAATAATATTTCATTTTTAAACTATATAAACTATATAAATATCTGTTAATAAACTTAAAATTTATTATTTTTTTAAATAAATTTATTAGTTACAATCTGCAACAATCTGGCAAGGAGTAAGTAGTTTTGAAAATGTAACAAAATATAACAATCAGCGGAATATTTTCCCATTAGAAACCTTTCAAATTACATAATACAAATAAATATTAATTTTAACAATATAAAGAAAAAACTAAAAACTTTCTTCTAATTTTAGCCAGCAAGATCAGACAATCACTGGAAGAAAAAAGCTATTGCAGAGAAATATTTTTAGATATTACAAAAGCATTCGACAGTTTGGCACGTTTTTCAACATTAATTATGATTGAAAATTATTTTTTTATTAAAACAACTTTACAAAATGATTGATTGTGTAATGTCCGATCTGCAAAAGTTTCGATGCGTTGGTCTTGCACATTACTCTCACTCTTGGAACTCAATGATAATTTTCACTTGTTTGCCTTAATAAAATGCTGAATTCAGATTGCCTTTTTGAATTTGAACAAAAAAATGTAAATAAATTGACCTGTTGCTAGTGGGTTCAGTTAGTGACTATATAATCCCAACCAAATTAAACTGATAATAACGTACAAAAAATGTGAATTAAATTGCATCAATTTAAAAAGGTACAGAAGAAATTGTAAACAAGTGATAAAGTGTTCACGGATGCCAGGCAAGGATCGATAAACATTTTAAGCGAGAAGTTGATTTGATACTTGAACAGTAAATTAATGAAAAAACGTTGCTATTTGGTAGTGATAAACAGTGTTTGGTATATAAAAGTTTAGTATGAAGCGGCGACCGTCAGTCAAGCTCCAAACAGTGGGTAGTGAACACATCGCGGTCTTAACTAGAACCCAACCAAGTAAATACACTACTCATTCATTCGTTATTTGCCGCCAATGTTACGTTATTAAAGGCCTCACATATAAATTCATAGCGCGTCAGTCTAACGAACGCCTCCACACACAACATCGTAGCCATCTAACAAAGTAGTGATCCATTGTTTTCCTCCCCAGAGTAAACCTTAATCAGTGATGACAACAACATGAACTGAGGAAAAATCTTGCCGTTCCTGTTTATTTTCCTTTTTTTTCTTTCACGAGGAATTATTTATAAGTCGAGGGAAGAAGCAGAAGCTATGGCTACAAAGGAGGATAAAAATAAAACGGCAAACAGTCCCTTGAACTGTTGCCAAAGTAACGATTCGCTGACTTCCACTTCGACGGGAAACGATGATGTGAATATCTGTGAGGCAATGAACAATTTCGTGATATCCCCTAAACGCAAGCAGTCCACCAGCAACAACAACATTTTGATGCATAAAAAACTGAACAAGACCTTTCCGAAGCGTGATCCTGTCAATTTGAAATTTGACGATGTCACCTTTACAGCAACGTCTTGGAACTTCAACAAATCCCTACAAAGAGGTAAGCTACTCAAATACTTCTATATCTAGACTAGAATTTCAATATTTCGTATTTAGTTCAATAGAAGAACAAATAACCAGGACCTTGGTTAATATCACCGACATTGCAAAATAATATTTTATTTCTATTAATCAGCAATATTTAGCATAGATCTTTAATGTGAACCTTGAAAACGGTTACGCGATTCTATTCAGATCAATTTGCGACCCAAATTTCACAAGACGTGCATTAAAAAGTGCACCTTGAAAAGGTGATAGATATCTTTTGTTCAAAGTTTATTGCACATCCGTTCAGATAACAATTTTTAATAAGTCATCAAGTTTCTAATCACTGATGAAAATCAAGATCCTTTCTAGTAAAAAGAAGATGATTCAGGAATCTATTTGAATAAATTACGCAGAAAAGAAAGTTTTAATTCGAGATTTAAAAATAAATATATAAATAAAGATCCTTTGTTTAATGAGAATTTAATTATTTGCTATAAAGATGAAATGACAAAGTATCCAATTATTCAATAAATTGTTGGTTAAATATTGCAGACAATAAAATACTGATGGCAAATGAAGCTGTAATAACTAACGAACGTCATTTGACATTTAAAGTTGAGCATCTTCTTATATATACAAAATTGAACAAAACTCACTTTATTAATTTCTAAAATAAATTTTATTGTTGTTGATTCTTAATAAAATTTATTGAATTCTTTAAAAATGAATGCATTACTTGCTGTGATAAATTTATTTTTGTACATTTTAAACTGAGTTTGTTATTGTAGCCAGACCGTAACGAAATTAAGTAAACACAGTTTATTTATTTTTCTGAGATACACCGTGTTAGCTATTATATATCTAAGCTGTATTGCTTGCATGTAGTCGATGTTCTGATACACCTTTAAATATTATGCGTAACAATTTAGATTTTGCTCAAATACTAGATATGATAATCTAATCGAACTCGATGATAAAGACATTACAAATATACAAGTATAATTGTAAAGCACTGCGATATTTTATTATGAATTGTGTTTTTAATATGACAGAATTCAAGGTCATCAGTGTATGTCAATCTGGAGGTAATTTAAATGTAATTAGTATTGGAATCAATCCAAAAATTTGTTTAACAAAAAAAAGCAGTAGAATTGTTTTCTGGATGGTAGCGACGAACATGTTAACTACGTTCCCTCTTTTAATTCGTTCTCAATGCTGTTTTAATTTAACGCTGCACAATCCACAACAATTAGACGTGATATTTGCAGCAGCAGAAAAAACAGTTTTTACATTCTATAATCATTGAATCAGAGGTTTACATGCAAATTATATTCATAATTTCAATATCGAGGTTTCGAAGGTCAGTGTAAAAATAAAAAAAAATACTTAATGAAGAATTTTCTACATTTTCCACATCCTGAATGTCTTTATATCTAGCAGGAAACGTCTGTATTCGTTCGCGATTTTGTATTTTTTAGACAAGACAAAGCCTTGTCCCGTTAACTTTGAATGCGAATAGATGCTTTCCTTTTTTTTTTATACATTTCCATGCGAATAATCCGACTAATTGCAAAAGCAAAACTACGTTCCGCATTACATGGATGTAATTGTAATTTAATGCTCTGTTTTTTCTTCAGTTGATGGTCATTTGTTTGCATTTTTTTTTTGTCTGTGATAGATAACGAAATTTCTATGAAATTAAAATCGGTAGAGGCCATTTGATGTTATGAAATTGCACAAGGATCGCGTTTATAGTAATAAAACAAATATAGTACATACAATAATTTTGTTATTAACGCGTTTGACAAAATTGCAGTCTCATGTCGTGCGTTAATTCTTGCAATTTAATCCAGAATTACATAAAAGTGGACGTGATGCGCATTATGTATTAATTCGATGGAATAATTATTGAATAGCAGGAACGGAAAATCCGATATTGATTGTCTTGATCACATTACGACTTACCTAACTGAGTGAGTCACATTCAATGTCAAGGATTTTGCCCAAGAACGCTTCAACCGTAACCGCTTTTCGCAACTACATTCATCGGTTTCAATTATGTGCAGATTGGACGTTTGGTTCAACGACCAAATCTGACGATGTGAATCGAAGCATTCAAATTGACGGTGGAAAGCCAATGGCGAAATAGAGAAATACAATGTTTTGTTTTGCGGTTTCGCTAAATCTAAGTGTGAGTGGAAACCGATTTATTTTTTGCTTCTCTTATATTTTCACAAAATACAATTTCGTAAGTTGTTTGTTATTTAGAATTGAATAATATTGGTTTTGCTGATAATAAATTACATTATCATTATTACCTTAATCCATTGATAAAATATTACAATATTTAGGACAGCTTTTATAATTAAAATATGTGAATTCTAATTTGGAACAAATATATCGACAGATTGCGTATTCTAAAGTGATTTAAATATTATATTGTATTTTAAGTGAGTGTCAACCTTGGCACATACTATGTACTAAAAGTGTTTGAAGGTTTGTCTCCCTAAATATTATGTTCATATATAATCATAGTTAACAAATGAAGTAAATAAAGACAAAAATAATATGTAAATTTTAAATAACAGAAAACTTAATTTAGTAAACGTATTAATAATCTTTGTTGCATTTAGATATTTCTGTATATTTTTTAATTAAAACTAAGGCATTTGATTTTGAATTTTTGACATTGCACGTTAACTTGTCGAAGGTTTTCCTTTAATGTAGAAACCCAAAATTTCCTAACAGCACATGGTCGAAAAAAAACATATTTAAAACGAAATGAACACTTTTGTGTATCACGTAAATTGTGACCTCTGGCTATTTGCATAACAAAAACATGTTGCCGTTTCTTTGGCCTGCATTTCACCTCTACTAAAACACGATAAAACATCCTCTCGTTTTTGTTCTCTTTTGCAATTAATTAATTTCATTTTTTTAGTGTGATTGTGCAAATTCATTATATAAAAAAATTAAAGCTTATGATATATATTATTTTTAGAATATAATCAAAATGTATATAATCTGTGATTATTGGACTCTTATAAGTACTGATATAATCTTTTTTTATGATTTGTAACTGCACTTATGCAATGACATTTCTATACTTTAACATTAATTAATTGAAGGATTTTCGATAAAAAAACGTACCAAAACTTAAAATGTAATTAAATAAAATTTGCTAAATAACTTAAATAATGTTAGTTTTAGAATAAATTAATAGATAGATGTTATTGATTAAAATTCCATGTATAATTACTAGGTTACATAATATATTATTTTTTTATTTACGGTTTGAATCGACCTCAATGTATGTTGAAAGAAAATTTTTGATCATTGACATGTTATAAACGATTACAGAAATAACTACTAGATCAGTATCTTAACCCATTAATTTAGCCAAAATTCTTGAAATTGTGCAACTACCGTTGTTATTAATAATATTTGAAACCGAAGTTTTGCAACCTAAAGTGTTGTTTTTAATGATCCGAGCTAAATGATTTAATTAAAAAAATAATAAATTTTACATATATTTTTTGTCGCTTTGCTATTTTTATCTCATTTTATAGATTAAATTAGTTTTAACAGTATTTATTTAAATTTGATAAACTGGTTATTCTAATGACATATATTTAAATTATTATTAGCATATTGTTAGCAATCATAGTAGTTACTAAATACTGTTTTTTTTCTTAAATAATCATAATTAACAAAATAACAGATTTATAAAAATGTATTGAAAACTGCTACGTTTTGTTTTCGTTAACAAATATTGTATAAGGAAAATAAATGCAGTTATCATATGCAACAACATGTAGTTCGCATTTAAACTTATTAGTCATATTTTTTTATCTACAGCCACACATTTCATGCTCTCATATCTGCGATTAAACCATTAATTACAGCCATGTGCCGTCATTGAATCACTTTTAAAAGCACTTTTAAAAGCATTGGATTTATGTAAAATTATTAAACTGTAATTTTACTAAATAAATCATTTATTATAAATGTTTTTGACTCGTTATTATATGAAAGTTTCAAGTCCAAAATATTGTTTATAAACATGCATAATAATATACAAAAATGCAACATTAATGTGACTCACATCAAATCAACAATTCTTTGTCCACTTATTACATCTACGCTAATGAACTTAGTCATTGCTTCCAACAATGGGTCGATATTGATGATTGCGTTCGAAATGCAACACTTCTATTATATTCTGAATATTTGAAGCATCCTCCAAAATATTTAGGTTTTGATTTTCCATTGTATTAAACCAGTATTCATATTTTATACGAGAGTGCTTATGCATAAATAAATTGTTATTTAAAAAAAAAACGAAAAGTTAAATTGAACAATGATTCTTTCACATCATAGACATTTCAGCGTTATTATGCAAACGTAGTTTAAAGTGTTCTCGACTCATTATTTCCGCCTCACGTCGAAGATTTTTTTTCGATTGACGGCAGCAATTAGAGATGTAGTCGTGGCTAGAAATTAATGAGTCTTATGTAACTTCATTGTGCGAGTTTCAATTAAACGATGTTGCGTTTCAGAAAGTAAGCAAATTCTGCACGGCGTTTCTGGTGAATTCAAATCAGGAGAATTGACTGTCATCATGGGACCATCCGGAGCCGGAAAAAGTACACTTCTCAATGGATTAGCCGGTTACATGTAAGTATTCACTAGTAGTTGACGAAACGATTAACGTATGTGATGTGCATATATTTATAGAATATTTTGTTATTTATATCTAAAAACATCGAATAATTTTAGAATTTGCATGTATTTATCGATTTAAAATATTCCGTTGATAAAATATTAATATTTCCCAAGTATATTGCTTTTATTTTATTTGTCAAAGTGTACGTATTGGAAGCGAGGTGATCAATTTAAATTTGTTATAGAGTCATTCTAACAGGTTAACGACATTAAATAAAAGTCAACTGATCTTATAAATCGAGTTTATTACTTTTAATTATGATAATGAAAGATCAAATAATATACTTATTATTGACAACTTATCAATAGCCTTAATAATTATTTAAATATGACCGTACTATTTGAACCATAAAACTCATCTTTATGTAAAAAAATTGGCATATATTGTCTTATGTATTTCATATAAAAATTGTATTTAAAAAAAAGAAAAGATAATTGAAAGTAAATATAAGAAACTAATGTAAATGCAAAAACAGAATATTATTGAAAATCACGGAAGTCTAATTACCTAATCCTGAATTATTGAGCTGTTCGTGACACAAACACTTAGCAGCTTGTATACGTGTAACATAATAATACATTGTAAGTGTTACCAAGTCAGTACTTTCATCGATTAATTACAAAATGTCATAGCATCTATGTAACCTTCAGCAAAACGATGTTTCTTGAAGTAATCTTAAAGATGTTTTTACATGTTTGCACTACGTAATTTATCTGTGTACTTCTTAGAACCATACTGTGATAATAAATTATTTAATTTATTATCACAGTATGGTTCTATGTCAATTTGTTTTTACTTTGGAATAATTAGTTATACAATTCCATTTCAGTTCATTTTATTAATATTCGATAGATACGATGTTACTGATGATTGCTTCAAATATCAGTGATTTGTATCAATGTATTTTTTTTTTCTAATTACAAAGAGATGGTTATCCTATACACGTGCAATTTTGACTATAGTTATTACGGTGTTTTTGATGCATTTACCGGTATTTTCATTTACAGCACACGCGGTTTCCATGGGAACGTAATGTATAATGACGAGATTCGCGACGGAAGTCCGAGATTCAAGAAGCTGGTGGCATACATTCCGCAAGATGAGGAGTTGAGACTGTCTTTAACTGTGATCGAGAACATGATGCTCGCAGCCGATCTTAAATTAGGTTACAGCGTTAGCGCGGAGTACAAGCTGCAGCAGGTAAATATTATACAATTCCTCTGAACAAATGTGTGCGATGATTGCGCATTTTGCTTTCGACAGGTCGAAGAACTTCTAGAGATTTTGGGTCTCGAGAGGTGCCACAGCACGTTGACATCGCGCTTATCCGGTGGTCAACGGAAACGTCTTGCCATAGCGTTAGAATTGCTCAGCAATCCGCCTATACTGTTCCTGGATGAGCCAACAACGTAAGTATTATTGGTGTATTTCCTCATTACTTGATAACAGGTTTGTAGAGGAAACTAAATTCTAAAAGTGACCTTCCGTAATCATAATGCAAACATAAATAAACCTGACCCGAACAACGTATCTAATTAAATGTCACTTTTGTTTATTATAGTGCGTTATTTACGCAATATCTGCTATAAATGTAGTATTAGTTAATTACAATACATAACTTTTATTAAGACAACATAATTAATTTTATCGTTACAAATTAATAGCTCAAACATAATTAAGTAATCAATTTGATTATTTATAAACCAAGTACCATTTATTCAAGATTTAATGAAGTTAAGCAAGGCATATTATTGATAGCAATTGAGTGGATGATCAGAAACGTTTACCATTTTGGAACAAATAAAAAGACATCTAATAAAACTGATATGATATTCATTTAAATATATTGATAATATTCATTTAAGTAGTTTAATGCATGCAAAATACGTTTATTATATTTTTTACTTTGGCATTAATTACCAAAGTTTGGTATTGGTAAACAAATTTGTTTCTTCATTCATTCACATACGTATTTTTTTCATTCATTCATAGAGAAAATAAGTCAATAAGTTCGTTAACACTCAATAATACGAAACCTGTTTGTAAAATAACATTTTAAAATCATAATCATTTCAATAAATGGAATTTATATTGGTAAACATATTTTATTTAGTTGACCATATATTTAATAATAAAAAAACTAATAAACTAAAAATCAATTTTATAGTGATCATAAAACAAAGTTCATTGAAAGCATTGCTGTAAGTTTGATTTAATTTGCTCAACATTCTAATTTCAGTTATTATTACATAAACGTTCTTTTTTATCTGTATTTTCACGTTTCTTATCATTTTTGTTATATAATAATTGTGCCTAGATTCGCTCTATGTGCATTTCTTTTTTTATCTGTGCTTCCTGTATAATTTAGTTTCTATACATCAAATGTATGTCACAATTTGCTAGACGATCTTTTATTATCAACACGTAACAAACATTATTTTTAAAATAATTAAATATAGTAACATTTATTTAGAGACAAATTTTTGATTTATTTAATGTAATTAATATTTTTCGAAAAATGACATCAATTGCTTTTGAATAAATTATAATAAAAAACCGGTCCAAAGTGTGCTTAATATTGACATTGACCTCTATAAGATTGCATTCTAATTAATCTTTAATCTTTCCTAAAAGTACAGTTACATTGATTATAGATTATAGAGCGTAGCAAATTGAAAGTTTTCAAGAAAAGAGAAAATAAGCAACTAATAAATATTAATATATTATTTTTTTGTTATTTTTTGATAAGTTTGAAAAAAATAATAACCGATGACCCGTTGACCCAGGTCACCAGTTATAATTTTCTTAAATAAAAATTTTATCTAAATTGACTCTTTATTTAATGTTGTAATACTTTTATTTGCAGTGGTTTGGATAGTTTATCATGTAGTCAATGCATAGCATTATTAAAAAAACTGGCGCAAGAAGGAAGGACGGTCATTTGCACTATCCACCAACCTTCGGCTTTACTATTCGAAATGTTCGACCATTTGTATGTCCTCGCGGAAGGAAAACGTATCTACGATGGAACAATCAAACAACTCTTGCCACACTTATCCAAAGCTGGACTTCAATGCCCATCGTTCCACAACCCGGCAGATTTCTGTACGTTAAAAACACTATAACGTGTTCAACATTCTTAAAGTCTTTTGGAATTTCAGTAATGGAAGTTGCAATTGGTGAATACGGAACCGATGTTAAGATGTTAGTAAAATTAGCTAATGAAAATATACAACGTCCAGAAGTGAGAAACTTGAACGATAAAGGTAAATAGTTAATTTTTATCCTAAATCAAATTGGTAATTTATGTGTTTAATTGCAGAAAAAGAAATGTTGTCAAGTTCAAAATTGATGACACGGAGTATCGAGGAGATAGTGCATTATACTACACCGAAACCTGCGAACAGCCTTATGCAATTTTTACTTCTGTACAAGAGAAATCTGATGATAGCGAAAAGGCAATATGTAAGTAATACATACGTTCAAGGTCCGGTGAAATGCAATTTTTTTTCATTTAGTTGCATTGCAACCTTCAATTCTATTTGGCAATGTTTACTATCTATTAAATGATTTTCAATTCTGTCTGACTAGAGTGACACAAGTGATGTTTGTGCAATGTAATAGGGTTACCTTTAATATTTGCTAGAAATTCTCGACGTCAATGACATATTTTTGTATTTGAAATATGCGAAGATGTAGATATGCAGATGTAAATATTTACAATATTTTCAACAGCTACTGCATCTAAAACCATTGACATTTGCACAGAATTAATGTTTACTGATTAATATATGAATTTTTTAGATGGTTATGATGAATCGATTTATGTCCCATGTACTAATAGCCTTCTTGTTCGGATATTTATACAAAGACGTTGGTTTCAATGCTAATACGATATTAGCCAATTACGTATATTTGTATGGGTCTTTATTATTGGTTGTTTATACTGGTCAAATGTCTGTTACCATATCATGTAAGTTTGATTTTAATATTTTATTTAGTTAAGGTTATTTATTAAATTTCTTCTATTTTAGTTCCACTTGAGATGAAAGTGCTATGTCGAGAACATTTCAATCGGTGGTTCAAACTAACGCCATATCTGTTATCCATGTTATTAATAGAAATACCGTTCCAAGTAAGAATTTAAGAATATATCTAGAAGCCAAATATAAATTACATTTGAATTTATTTGCAGATTGCATGCACTTGGGTTTACGTTGCCATAACGTATTGGCTGACTGGACAACTTGTCGATGAAAGATTGTATTTCTTTATAATCTTTTGCACGCTAGGAACGCTGTGCGCGCAATCATGGGGATACTTCATTGGATCCACAACTCCAATATCCGTAAGCTTCAAACATAGATGGAAACGATAATATTTAACATTCGAACGTTATTTTTAGATTGCAGTATTCGTTGGGCCGGTCTTAGCGTGCTTATTCTCTGTATTCGGATTTTGTATTCGTTACGTAGATACACCAGTACTGTTTAGATGGCTCTACCATCTGAGTTATTTTCGAGCTGGTTTTCATGGACTCACTTATGCCATTTACGGTCTACCCAGAAAAGAGCTTTTTTGTCCAGATGAAGATCTCTACTGCCATTACCAAGATCCAACGAAATTCTTAAGAGAAATGGACGTTGTCGACATTAACCTGTGGACGAACATGTCTATAATTGTGTTGATCACATTCGTAATGCACGCTTCAACGTATGTCACCATTTGGATAAAATTGAATAAGCGTTAAATCTACATATGCAGTAACTTAATTTATTTTTTATTTTAATTATTGAGAGTATTGATTCAGTTATAATATTATATGTTTATAAGCCAGTAGGACTTCAACTACTTTATTGAAGATATTTTTTTTTTGTTGAAAATCTATTTTTTTACTTAACGTACCAAAGAAAATGTGTGTATATTATAGGAAGATATTTAATATCTAGTTTATAAAATATGTATTAATATTTCTATACAACTGATAAAGTTGTCTAATAAAACAAAATATAAATGTTAATATCAGTCTGCATTCTTTCGAATCCCACAATTATAAGTAATACATAATTCATATTAATCGAATTAATCAACAAAATATCCGGGGTTCAAAGTTCAAATAGATCATGTTTATTAACTTACTCATGATTTATATGGATTTTTCAAGAATTCGCGAGTGTTTACTGCGGCTGTGCAATGGTCATTATCTATTCATTATTTCCATTTGCGTATTTAAGCACGCAGTACGATTTATAGTTATACTTTCTTCTAAAACTGATTGATGTTTAATTTTTATACATTTCAGTTATCTTGTTGATAACAAAACATCATATTTTCTTTCAACTTCACTTCCATAATTATTCAGCAGTGGAATAATAAGTTTCCGAAATAAAAAAAAATTAACATGGTAAAGTAAATATGCTATTGCTACTTAGAAAATATACACATTTTGTTCTACCAATATTAAACCAGACAATATGATTTAGCTAAGCAGATTATATAGTACTAATGATGACTTAACCAACTATTAATTAATAATGTTATACTACAGTGGCATTCAAATAAACTTGTAGAAAATCGTGTTAAAAATTACATATTTATTTGATTTTAGAAACATAAATCTCTTCAATTGGAAGTTATACTTAAACTGTCATATAACAGATTAATGAAGTTATAACAATACAAAATATACAAGATAATTATTCCATTAGTAACATTAATTGCAGAGTAACATTAAGATATATGTATTCCCCGATTTAATAACTCCCGGACTTACGAACAAAATTCTAAAAGCTCTAACTTGTTACAAGGAGATATCAAAAAAATTAACGGTCCAAAGAAAAATTGAAAAATTCTTTAATAAAATATATTATTTTTTGGAAGATGTACTATCTGTTTTGTTGCATTTATTGCAATTATTGTGATATCTACATTGAAAAGTATTTGTAGGTAAGTATTTTGTATATTTTAATCTATTTTTTGAAATTTTTGCAAGTCAGTAATACGGAATTTAACATATATTAAAGTAAAAACCATGATAAAATGTGGTACATTATAAGTATATTTTGAAATAATTACAATTTCGTAAGTCGTATATATTTATAAATGTCTTCCAAATATTGTGTTCAAAATATTTTAAATACAAAAGCATTATTAGCAACGTCAAAGTAAGTCTGGTTGCATACGTTTCATACGCTTATTTAAATAATATACGTATATTTTCTTTCACATTAAAAATATATTAATTTGGAAATTCATTTATTCCACTATAACTATTAAAATTCCATTAGTAATTTTATTATATTAAGTTACGTGTAAAACAAGTAAATATTCTTCGATAATTAAGTTATTTAGTTATACAACAAAACTCCAATGTAGCAACAAAAGCATATAGAAAATTGTAGATGCTAAAGAATAATTCCAACAACTTAAGTTATATAAATTAAATGCATTTTTTACAAGTTGTATCATAGCTTAAGATTATAGTGTTCTAAAAAATAGATTCCAAAAGAATGTGTCAGATTCGTTGATAGTTAGGTCAATTTCAGGTCATCTTCTGAGTGGAGAAACCACGCAACTGGGAAATAATGTTCCAAGAAAGTAATATAACAATGTGTCATACATTAGTTACTAATCCTATTACAATGGAAATTTCTATTACTAAAGAATAATTTCAATACTTGTTCTTTACAGCTTTATAAACGTTTTCTAATAATATTATAAATATAAATTTGTTCTAAAATATACTAATAATTAAATCAAACAATGAAATTAATGGAAAATATTGGGCGCGAGTTTTGTAATATATTTCGATAAGATGATATCAAATTGTAAAAAAATTCAAATCTCTTCAATATAAAGTATATTATTTTTTAATATACAGTTATAATGAAATATACAATTGGTTTTTGCAATAACTTAATATCATATATATAAATAAAATGTCTAAATTTTCTGTTTTCGTTTTTTACAATTATTTATACACAAGTTGTTATAATGAAATGCTCCTCTCCCACGCTTATAAATTAAGTCCGACTTTTGAACCTTCCATTGCGACCTCAACAATTGATCTGATAATGAATTGTGTTTCTATGATTGGATTTTTTTTCTCACTGATAACTCGGTACACTGTTGCAAGTGAATGATTCACATACGAAATGTGAAAAATAAAAAAAAGTAGAAAGTCTCGTGGAGTCGCATGGATTTCATTCAAAAATATTTGTGTAATATTCGAACGAGCGTTTCGTGCAGCAGTAGTCTTCGTGGATTGGTTGATGCAGAAGCCACTGTGTAAATGGGAGAGATAATAGTACTTGAACAAAGCCATTGTGTTGCCTACTGCACGAAAAATGAAATCATGTTATCACATAGCGATTATCATTGAATTATCACAACACTGAAACAATGCGGTGAAATGAACTAAAGTGTCGTAGTCCACATCGCACGGAGTGTTTCTGTAAATTCTATTTAAAGTTTTTGGACGTATCTGGAGAAACAAAGTTTATTTTAAAGGTAACTTTTCATATACTTGTTTACAACCTTAGTAAAAATAATCACCAAATAATTATATAATAATTATGTATTTCTTAAGATATTCGTCTGAAAAATTTGTTAATATTACAAGAAAATACATTCTTCATTTCCATATAATCCAAAATCATCTTTCTCTATAAATTATGTACTCCCTTTTCATTGGACTTTGTCCCCATTTTTGCCTTTTGATACATATAAACACCAGTAAGAATAATAGTTTTTTTTTGAATATCTTATATATCATATGTAAATATTTTATTAATATATGTATAAAAAAATTACTCTAATTACGATAATTATTAACTCATTTATAATGATGTATGTTATTTGTTCTGTGACGTACTTTTTTTTATGTAAATTAGAACTTGTTTAGTTTTTAATTAATTTAATATGCAATAATACGTAAATCAATGATTCAAAGTTCTGTTTTAATTTTTAGAATTCAGACTGAAAAATATATTTATCTATTGAATACGAATATTAGCGAAATCGTAATTTTCCACATATTTATAAATCACAAATCACATTCAAAAATACACATAATATGTGTACACATGTTTTAAAAATGATATAACAGGCGCACAATGCGCGACTTCTCTTCTCATAGTCCGTCGTTATAACTTAACTTATTCATTCATCAGAAATTTTATAAAAATATCTTGGATTTCATAGCAATTATATAAAAAAAATAGAAGAACTTCTATATTAGTTTCAAAGTTAAGTGAATTTGAATCTTAATTTTCATTTTATTTAATTATTCAATTATATGCAATAAATTTACTTGATTTTAATGATATGCATATTTCATTTAATTACTTAATTTAGTACAATTTATCAACGTAAATTAAAACCTCATTTATAGGAAAAATATATATAATTAGCACATGTTGAAACTGAATAATATTTACTTCAAGAAATCAAAACTTGTTTAATGTATAATTATTTTTTTTAAAAAGTTGAATAATTGATTTACAATTTTTTCATCTATTTTATAACAGTCAAATAATTATGTTAATTATTAAGAATAAATAAAAAAAAATACGTTTTTTGCCAATGATATTATTTTACTTGATTTAATATTATGAAATAAACTTACTTACATCACCTAAGAAAATTATATTACATGATATCAAGTAATACAGATTAATTTTATATTTTCCAAGGAATAATTTTCTTTGATAAATTGAAAATTTAAAAAAACTTTAATTGAATAAATCAAGGACAAACGGCTACATTTGTTAACGAAAACAACAAACAATGTAGAATTCATTAATTGCAATTTCAAAATAACTGAATTTTGTTGTATCCATTTCAAATTTTCTTTTCCTGTTGTTTAATTTGTATAAATAGTACTTTTTATAATTATATTAAAAAAAAAATAAAAAATATCAAGTATATTTTTGTTTATTTGATGAGTTTTGTTTTTCATGATGATTAAACTTAAATATTAAGTATGAGCGTCAGAAAAACAATTATGATAATTATATGCATTTATAGTATGAAGAAGATATGCTATTTATAAAATAAATATTATTATTACTTAAAAATCTGAATTATATAATATGGTAATGGTAGACAACCATTAATTTTTTTTTGGTACATGAATAAAATTCACAAAAAACACACACATACAAAGTCAGGATCATTTCTCTTAATTGTGGTGTTGAAAACAAAAAAGTAATATCACATACAGCAATACAAAAGTGTAAGAAACAAAGTTTGGAGACCGGTACGCGTCGGTCGCTAATTCTTGACTGGTGTCATTTAGTAGAGACTGCTTGTTGTAACCAAAGTATTTGAGTTTTATTGAGGATATGTTTATAATAATGTTATGCCTTCACATTTTAATAATTACATATGCAATTATTTTGTTGTTTCAGGAAATTGCGGAAAATTGGAGCAAAACTTGGTTTGAAGTTGGATGATGTAGTGCGTGCGAGAGACAATATTAAAAACGGCGGCAAGTAGGGGAGTTTCAAATACGGAGCGCTCGACTAGGATTCTCAGTAGTCGCAGAGAGCGCGGACAGTGAACGTTGTATCCATCCAAAACATGGATGCGGGCTCCTCGTCTAAGGCGGCTGTGCCGCGCATCAAAAATTTGGCAAAAAGGCCAGACTCTCTAAAACTCGAACTTCTTACAATTCACGAGGATTCAGTGAGGAAAAGTTTCACACCCGCACAGAATGACAACGATGTGCACATTGGATTCAGGAATTTGACGTACTCTGTACGAGAAGGACTATTCAAAAACCGTAAGGACATGCCAAAATGAAAATATACGAAATTCAAATCGAATGTCAACTTGACATTCAAATTGTCATTCACTCACTTAAACATTTATTTGAAATTTAGAATTATCAATAGAAATCTATAAATATATTATTAATTTAAGAACACCTTAAGCATATTACTTGAACTTTACAAGTAAATTAAACTCAAGTTTAAATTTGAATCGTCGATGTTCGCGCTTACATTTTCCAATATATTTATTGCTTTCTAATATCAAATTAACTTCTTAGTCATATGTTAAAAAACCATGTTGATGTCTACTTTACTCTATACTATAGTTGACTATAAATTATGAATAAGAAGGTAATACATATATTTCAGCGAAACAATTTATAATTTATAAAAACTTTGCATGAAATGTTAATCATATTGTATTTATTAATATCCATTATTAATAAACAAAGGACACTTTATGAGTATTTTAAAAATATTTACAATATTAAAATACATGAAATCAACAATTTAATACCTTATCATATAATTTATATTTATTACAAAAACTGATTGAAATGAGATTGTAAACATAAATAAATTTATTTTTCTTGTTAAATTCCATAAAAAATCTCTTGCATTGATATAATATGATATGGCAAGAGCTTCGAAATAATTTATTATTTTAAACAAAAGATATAAATTCTTTATATTATCCTTTATATAATTTGGAATAGTTCATTTATTTTCAGTTTATATCTGAGGTTTCTTGTAAGTTTTAATCATAAATAAAATTTGATTGCGATTTATTTTTTGGTTCGAGGAGGAAATAAAATGATCAAAGTACACAAGTGCTTGGTACTTTAAGATGTACAGAACAATGATTATCTAGATGACATTAATACCAATTAAAAAAATATATAATCAGTGAAGGCCTATAAATAACAGTAACCTCTTTAATAAAGATAAAGCCAATAGTTCCCATTGATGTGTGCATAAATACGTTTTGTTTTTCTCTACAGAAATCTGAGGATAATTTTGCTTTTAGTAGGATCAGTGTAAATATACAATTATCGATGGTTTGTTTGATGTGCAGAAGCAGAGTTTAAAGTCCTCAAATATTGACCATGGCTTACGTGATTTTCGTATTATCTGTTTTTTTGAGTCAATCTGTTTCTAGACAGGACATTATCGCAGATCGAAATGACTCTAATCTCGTGTCATCTACACAATACGCAAATTCTTATCAACTTGCCCGCACCTGGTCACAGACCTTATCAGAGAAATAATCCCATTGATTTAGAAAATATCAAGTTCAAAATTAGCATTGAACAAAAGCAAATAACTATATAGATGTTATCTATTAGAAATAAATAATAAATATTGAACCAAAATCTAGTATTTAATCACTTCATATAATCAGTTACAGCACATACACACATTAGTAGTGAAACTTTAAATTTTTTGCTGTTGGACTTGAATTCCATCCTCAGAAGCAGTAAACAGAATCAGCTGTTCGCTTTCATCTCTTTGTCCTCGACGATAAAATTTATCTGCTCTTCGTTGAGTAAACCGAGCCACACGTGTTGTTGAACCAAACAAAGACCATGCGTCATGCCAACATTCAGCATTGAACTTCATTCCAGAGTTTCACGCAGGTCCAGAAGAAACCAAAACCGGTCCAAGCTTATAATAATAATAATCCAATTACGCTTGGCCATCGAATACTAGAAACGTCGGAGTTTCATCTCTCATTTTTTTGTACGAACAATTACGAAACATATTTATTATAAATCTTGGTGAAAACAAGTTGAGTTGAGTAATCGAATTTTAAATAATGCAGCAATGCTCTCTGTATATCATGTTTCAGATTTTTTTTTGTTCACTTGTTATTAAATAATTGAGGTTCTTATTATGGGTAAATCAGTCGCACCAAGCCTCTTCTTAACCTAGTTAGAAATACCATTCATGAAACTTTATTTATTGCCTGGATAGAGCGGAACATGCTAATTTTTTCAGTAGGCTTTATGTAGGATAAAGACTTTTTATTTCAATCACGAGCGGCGGCCGAAGGAGTAAATTGCTGTTTCACAAAGCTTTTCATGAAACGTTTCTCCTATTAAACAATTCATATATTTCCTAATACTTCAACGTCCACTGCTTTTAATCAAATAACTTCAGTACATTTATATTTAGTATACAATAAAGTTACACAGAATGTAGTCAATATTTGATAATTTCATAATATTACATAGATAACCAATACAAAAAGAGATAATACAATAGTTAACTATTATTATTATAATTATTAATCATTGATTTCAAACCTCATATTTTGTTGCCATGTAAAAGTTATCTTTATCTCAATATCATTTAATCCTATATAATAGAATACCTGTACATTAAAAATATATAAAACTATTATATAAAAATTTTGAAATACTTCAATGAATATATATCATAGTAAAACGTAAAATATGATAATAAAGGTAAATTAGAATAGAAAACTCGGAATCCCAATAAAGTGATTTGCAATCAGTAAACTAGAAACAAGTTTTTTGTGATTATGCACGAAATGAAATATCCACTAGGCTTTAGATCATTGAACTATCAATTGAGACAATCATTTGGAAGTAATTATTATTAAATGTATGGTCTGAGTCGTCATCAATTGAGTAGACGAAAACTGTGGGTTTTAAAAAGAGCCGAACTCCATTCGCAGTTTTCTGCATCAAGATACACACTCGTCTACAAATTCAATCAACAAACATGTCCTTAACCCGGCGGCAACTGCTATTGAATGCACACTGAATTCAAATTCCTTTATGTGCTTTAAATGCTAGTAGAGGTTTTGAAATCCTTTCTTTCTATTTAAGTTGATATACTCAAGCCGCTCGTCATAATACAAGTTGGCATTGAATTTTAATTTATTTTCCTCAATTAATCTATGTCCTTTGCTTCCTATCGTCTATACGAGTGTATTCATTAAATAAGCGATTCATTGTATATATTGCGTTTAAATTGAAACCAATGCTACGTAACAAATCATTGTTTTAAATACATACACATTTCTAGTTAATTATCACTTATATTAAACTTTCTTAGCTTTGTGAGTAATTGAAATATAAATTGATATAAAGGCAAGTAATATTTGTTTATATAAATTGTGTGTGTGATGTGTAAGGATTGATGATGGTGCGACGACCTACATACACAAGAAAGACAATAATTTAAGGTCAAATGTTAACAGCTTTAATGGTCATAATTGCCGGCCACAGATATATTGCAATCATAATATAATTTAAATTACACGCAGGCTTACATTTATTAAAACACATTAATATCGATTAGTTTCAACTAATCTAACAATTGTACATCAATTACCGCTTAAGCCGTTAAATTACAACTTCCATATCTCATTGTTTCCATCAAGTATCTTCTACTTCCTTAAGTGAATTAATACTGAAAAAAAAGCCAAGTAAGCTGTTTATTTAATCTGTACTGTATAAGACTATAATTGCAAATCACTAAAGGTTATAATTAAACAGGAAACATATAAATAGAATCAACATACAATAATTTAAAAGTATTACGCTTATATTCATAGTAATGTTAAATTAATCTACATAAATCTACGCAAAATGTGTTTAAACCATTAAAAAATCTAATGAAAATTTGCAATAAACACGATTCAATTAATAAAAAAAAAAAACAAATAATAGAAACTTCTAATAATTTCCGGGAATTAAGTTAATGTTAAAAGATCATGGAATTTCTGCAACGCCAGCTGCGAAATTCAATAAAGTTATTGTAAATCTTTCCTGAATGCGTTTGTATTTTACTTTCAACTGCGAGAAAGTTCGTGATGCATTTCACATTAATCAGTTTCATAACAATAACAAAAACTAGTTTCAATCCATTACATTGTGCGAAGTAAATGTAATATCAAATACAATATTACAATTTATATGCGATCTACTAAAAAAACTATTATTTATAATTTAATTTGTATTTATTTAATGTTTTCAAATTTTGTAGTTGTAGATTTGTAATTAAGATTAATTTTCTAATACTATTCAAAACATGTTTTTTTCTAATTGGATGAATATTGTTTCAGGAAGAAGAAAATTAATTAATGAAATCAATGGAGATTTTTATGCCGGAGAATTAACTGCCATAATGGGTCCATCGGGCTCTGGGAAATCAACACTTATGAACATACTTGCTGGATATACGTAAGTGTAAACTAATATTTCAATGTGTATACATTTTAGCTAAGAAAAAATAGTTTTTTTTTTCAATATTTCTAGACGCAGAATAATAAGCAATTAAATTACAATTAGACATTAGACATTGACCATCGTTTTCATCATGTTTATGAATTCAATTACATTGATTCATAATTTTATTCATGGACAATAAACGTAAATGTTTGAATTAAAAAAGAATATAATTTTTGTTTTTCTAATGAAATGACTGCAATTTTGATTGCATCTAATTATTAACTTAGAAAATGAACAATAAACATGATTTGTTTTGAACTATTTGATTGACACATTTTTAATTGTTTATTTTATCATTCGTTCTGAGAAATATCAATTAACATATTAACAAAGGTGCGTTGGTGTAGTCTGTCGGTGCATGCAAACTTCCTATGCTATTGATTACATTCAAGTACACTTGCACCGAGAATGGCGAGTGCACGCGCACCCGAAGCCAGGTCAAACCACTTCCACTGCATCGGCAGCCGCTAAAACTGGCTTTGCTAATACATTTCATTCCATCTCTCTCTATCTCTCTTTCTCGTAATAAGTACAGCGAATGTTTGTTTTGCATTCTAATTTCATAATAATTTCTTTAATATTCCAGAACGAACGGCGTAGATGGAACGCTCTTAGTCAACGAGGAATTGAGAGAAGAAAATAGCTTTAGGAAAAACTCCTGTTACATAATGCAAGATGATAATCTACAACCACTATTGACTGTGATGGAGGCCATGCTGGTGGCAGCCAATCTTAAACTTAATCCAGAAATTTCACCCAAAGATAAGCAGAAGCGAACGAAGGAAATTCTAGAGGCGATGGGTCTGTGGGAGAGCAGGAAAGTGAGAACGTCCTCGTTATCTGGAGGGCAGAGGAAAAGACTTGCCATAGCTTTAGAATTACTTAAAAACCCTCAGGTCATGTTCTTCGATGAACCAACTAGGTACATACACTCCTTCTTCTTCACTTCTCGACCTCATTTTATATGTTAACCTTTTTGCAGTGGCTTAGACAGTTCGACGACGAAACAATGCATAATGCTTTTGAAGCAATTGGCGCAAGAAGGAAAAACTGTCGTTTGTACAATTCATCAGCCGAGTGCGACGGTTTTCGAAATGTTCGATCATCTTTACGCAATTGCCGATGGAAGCTGCATATACCAAGGATCCATCAAAGGTTTAATACCGTATTTAGATCAATCCGGATTACATTGTCCCTCATACCACAACCCAGCTGATTATTGCAAGTTAAATCTTTTTTTAAAACTTAATATGTTAATAAAACTAATTTTCTCGTTCATGAACCAACAGTACTTGAAGTTGCAACTGGGGAGTACGGATGTCACGTTGAACATCTGATGGGTAAATCCCAGAACGGACTTTGTAACGATTGGAGGAAGTCCCAAAGGGATACCCTGCAAATTCAATCAATAGAACATATAGGTATAAAATTAATTAATTAATTACTTTGCATTTAGAAAATACCACTTATTTCTTTCTGTTCAGATAAGATGATGAAAAATGGACTTTTGACACCGGTGAAAGCGCCGCCAGTAACATTCCCAATGCTCACCATGGTTAAGGAACGCAAGAGCACGACGTGCTTCGATTCCAATTATGAAACATCTTTCATTTACCAACTTTTCGTATTACTTAAGAGGACGTTTCTTATTCTAAGTCGAGATAGGACATTGACATATTCCCGCATATCTACTCATGCAGCTGTAGCGTTGTTTATAGGAATACTTTATTACGGCATCGGCGAAGATGCCTTCAACGTCTTGAACAACTTCAATTACATGTTCTTCTCAGTCATGTTCTTAATGTTAACAGCTTTTAACTGTGTCACAACAACATGTAAGTTATACAACTATCACCTAATTTCTTTATATTATCATTATTTTTCTCTTAGTCCCTTCAGAAATGCCTATCATCATTAGAGAACATTTCAACCGATGGTATTCTTTGAAGGCTTATTATTTAGCGATAACATTAGCCGATATACCAATTCAGGTAAATTATTTTGCAATGTATTATTAAATTCATTAGAAAGACGGATAATTATGGAAAATATACTCACGCAAAGTTCGGAAATAGTTTAATTAAAATTAGAAGTACTAAAAGAAGTAAAAATGTGCAGCGGAAAGCAGATGAAAGAAAGGTGTGAGATATCTAAAAATAGCATAAGAACTTTTTTTGGTTATTCTACGAAAACAACCCCAGTGTTCCAAAGTATAATTAAGTTAAATTTATATTTATAAAGATGATTTCAATACTATACATGTAACCTAAATAAAATAATTCCATTTAAAACAAAACGAAGATTAGAATTATCATACAATTGAATCATCAAGTAACACCACAATTCTGTTGCACGAGATTTTAGTACATGTTTCATATTACGCACTATTTACAATATTTAAATATATATATAAAAACAGATAGCAAATATCAAACAATAAGAAATGGTATATAATTATTAATTCAGTGATATGTATTTTTAAACTCGTGTTTATTCTGTTTCAGATGATATCAACATTTATTTACGTTTTAATAACTTATTATATGACGTCACAACCAGTGGAAACTTTTAGGATGTTACTATTTCTAGTCATGTGTGTATTAGTTTCCTTAGTTTCCCAAAGTTTTGGTTTATTTATTGGAGCATGTATGGATGTTAAGGTAAGAAAATATTTTTTAAGAGTCAGTATTTTTATGAATTTGGACATATTAATAGTAATTATCTAATGGAAACTATGAATGTTCCAAATTTATATTCAAACATAATTTACATGGGATATAAATAACAATTATAACTGAAAGACGAGATACAAATTACTCTTGCACATGTGATTCCTATGTTTATCGCGTGCTTAATAAGTTGCCTATATTAATTCCTTACCTTTTTAATTCTTTTATATTTAAAAATTAAACAAAATTCAAATTAATATCTTCACTAATAATAACATAATTTAAAATATTCTTATTTATTATAAATTAATATACTTTGTATTTTAAATTATGAAGAGTTTATTTTTAATTATTAATGAAATTAATTTTGAAATAATCGAAAATTATAAAATTATTTTGTTTTCAGAATGGTGTGATCTTTGGTCCATTCTGCTTTCTTCCATTCACAATATTTTCTGGATTCTTCGTCCAATTGAACAATGCTCATCCGTACATGCAATGGGTATTCCACATATCGTTCTTAAAATACGGATTCGAAGGACTCGTGTTATCGGTGTTCGGTTACGATCGTGGCAAAATACCTTGCAACGCCGATTACTGCCACTTCGTGTACCCAGAGAAGTTCCTAGACGAGATGGACATGGAGAATGCGGTGTACTCACATTCAGTATACTTTTTAATAGGCTTAGTAATTTTCCTGAGAATTTTGGCCTTCCTTGCACTGTTTGTTCAAATTAGAAGGAAGAGGTGATAAAACGATAACGCCTAAATACCATTAAGACAATATATTTTTCTTAGTATTAATCAAATATTATCGCGGGAAATTAGTACGGATACCATATTTTATATTTGATAAAGAAACACGTGTTCATTGCAAATTATCATCTGCTCAAAACGTAAAGAATTGTGTAACATATCTTAGTGATTAAGACTGTGTCCATTAGACATTAAGAGAAAAATAAAGCATATGTGATTTTATTGAATCAAGACAACATTGTATGCATATATAATATATATTTTACATTAAACATAATATTATTAAGATTTTTATAGTATATTTATATGTACGTCTATAAATGATATGTAGAGGATATAAAGAGGATACGATGGTTACGGGGAGTGTTTTATTTGATCCTAATTAAAATTCTGGAATTTGTATCGAACGCAATCTGAATTTGTCACTGATGATTAATGTGATTTGAATTAACAACAAAATCCCACGCTTCGATGCTACCGTCCAAAGCCCAAGATCGGATTATTTTTCATAGAAAATTACTTAACTATGATACGATTTTTGTTTTGTTGAAATGATTATGTACGATCTGAATCATTCGGAATCGCTCTGCGCGAGTGCGCGACGTGCAAACCGGAAGACCGTAATAATTTTCAATTAAAAAAATCAATTGAAGCGACCTTAGCACACATGCACAATCCAACTACATCCGATGGTTACGGTGAATTTGCACTGTCCGTATTTTAAAACGCAAATACTGCAGATGTTTTATTTATACAGCGATGCCAAAGGAGTAGCAAATTTGAATAACGCGTTACGCCCTCACAGCTACATACTCATCAGCTTTATTGCAATTATATTATAAATCAACTTAATGATTAGTTAAGAAAATAACTTATTTATTCAAATAGAAAAAATGAACATGAAATAAGCGAATAAAAATTTCATGATTTCCATATGTTGTTACATGCGTTTTTCCAATTGTCACGACTAACAATAACTTTCTTTATTGCAGATATTACACAATACATAATAAAATACGTAATTACAAAAACATATTAAAGATTGTATTATCTAATTTATTATATAATTGATAATAATATTCATTTAACCAAATTATACACACATAATAAAAATTTCATTCGAATTTCAAAATACACAGATAACAAATAAATACATTGTTTAAGCTAATTTGTTATTTATTAATTAATGATTAATTAATTAATTTCAATTATACACGTATATCAGAATTATATTTGGAAATTTTATTAATACTTGTTTTTTTTTATTATATCTCTTACAAAGTTTGAACTCCAATTATGGATAAAGGAGTCATCATTCTTTCCACTTATTGTTGTTTTCAGTTTGGGATCATGTCTTTTATGGTTTGCAACCATTTTTAACGTTATCTTACATATCTATTTTAGTACATTTCTACAAGAATAATCCCTCATTAAAATCAGATCTCTTTAAAAACATATTCCTTATGACTTGACCTCTGTGATTTTCCATTGTTTACACTAAAAACTGTGTGTTTAATATGCAACCTGCTGCAGTTTTGTCTACTATTTTAATTAATTTAATTAACATAATTAATTTATTGCAAAAGAATTGATTGCTAGAGCCAAAATATAGTTATTAACCTTGAACTTAAATTTATAAAATAGTAATTATTGATATTTAGTTTACATTACATTTTTTTTTAAAAAATTATTATATAAACTCAATATCATATATTTTGCTTATTAAGTTTTTTTTATTAACTTATTCATTTTTTTATGTGATTAAGTAATTAAGTAATTTGAGATCGTTAATTTACTATGCACTTAGAAATTAGTTTAATGTATCAATTTCGAGAACTATGAACAAAACCATTAGTTTGATGACTTGCAAATTGAACATAAGTTATTCAATTTAAAGTAAATTAATCATAGATGTATTTTCCTAATGAATAACATTTTAAAATGCAAGAAAATCACTCTAAATAAATAACGTTCCTTGACAATTTTACTTAATGCATTCAGTGATGTCACGAAAGTCACGATCTAAGTATTAAATATTTTATAATACTTCCAGGACACTATTAACAGTTGAATACAAAATGTTGCATTACTCTAAATACAATGTAGATCGAGTTGCGGGAAATGCTAAAACAAATAATTGAAATTCTTTAAGTTTTGTGTATACATTTTACTTCCATCAGCTTGAGCAAAAGAAGCAACAAGAGATTGTGTAACTCCGGAGGATGAATTGGAATTTCCAAAGATCAAGAATACAGTATTTTCCCGTGGATAAAACAAACGAAAGATAAAACGAGACATGCTGCGAAGGAGCCTAGTTTGCATTCTTTCGGTTTAGGTTGTTGACGTTTCTCATGACTAACAACAATGTTTCTCTTTCCATTCGTCGAATTATTAATTTCTTAATGGAAAATAAAATAGAAATTCATTTACAAATCATTTGCAATTAGAAATTGCACAATTTATTTTTGAATAAAAAATAAATAAAATGTGAATTGATAGAACAGGATAATTGTAACTTCCAATTGAAAAATACGTTCATAAACTATCGACTAATAACATAACTATTACCAAAGTTGGAGTATCATTGACGTGTCACTATTAATTGAAATTACCTTTAAAAATCAATAAAAAATAAATTCCATTAATTTAAATGAATTCTATACTCAATTGCTAATTAATAATTAATTGTAGTAGAATAAAATATGAACACAATAATATCATTATTAAATATATAATATTTGTACATTAATTTTAGATATTTATTGAAGAGGAAGTAGCGCAGACAAAACTCTTGCGAAAATATGAGTTCCAATATTAACATTTTAAATAAAAATATATATACTGTAGCCAATTGACCTAAACAATAATAATTACATTCGCGTTTTTGTATTTTAAATAATTCATAAATATTTGTTACATAAGCATATAATACGTATTATATTAGAATAATGTGTATTGTTTCCAAAGTTGTTACTTCATACAAATTATACCCGAAAACCAGAATTTTGTCGGTGAGACGCTGCACAACTTTACGTGTTTGATTTGGTAATGAAGTAAGAGAAGAAATGTAAACGGATATGTTTTTTTTTCTGAAATATTGTAAATAAATAAGTGACGATTTATATTAGCTGCATGTAGTATTTAAATGTACGAGATCGATTTGTTTACGGAATGTTTATTGGAAATTTCGGTAGGGCCACATAAATTTTGTCATGTGTCGTTTTGAATGGTTTATTAGTTATTTTGTTACAGCTTTTGTTGTCTATATCCTGGTTCTGACTTATAAGAGACACGCAAACATTTGCGCCCGTGACTCACGTCGCATAAAAGTCGTGGCGATTTTCTAGAACTTTTCCCAAGCATTTGCATATAATCAACGAAGACGATAACAACATACACGAAACCGAATTTTTGATAAACATTTGTATTCCCATATATCTGCAAACCAAAACGAAAATGAATTTATGACTTAATAAACACAGAATTTGAAAATCTTTGAAGGCATTAAATTTTTTTTTTGTACACAACAATTATTATTTCAATGCGCTTCCAAAATGATTCAATCTTCCAAGAACATCAACGACCTCCGTTTTGCATAACGCGTAACGAGATTAGTGTAATTAAGTTAATTCTCTGAAAATGCAATGAACATTCTTATTTATTTGTGTTTGGTATTTCTTAAGCACTTTACGTGCTTAAACAAATCGCGTTGAACTTAAATGTAATTTAATATTACTCTAAAGTGAAGTTGTTCTATAAAATTAAAATTACTTTCCATTCTTGGTAAAATAACAAACATATAAATCAATCCGAAATAATTATTTAAAAAATAAGAATATAAACGTTATGTTTCAATTAAATAGAATGATTCATGTTATATATACTACATAATTTTCCTGCAACAATGGAAATCATAGGATAGTAATTAGTTTTCTTGTAAACTGATTATCATTGCAATAAAAAAAATATATGTTCATGTTTTCCAACTATAATAAGAATCCAAGATTATTCAATGATATAACGAATTTAATTTTATGCAACAACCACAAATAAATATGTTTTGATTATGATACTAGTTTTCCATTGTATGTAATAAACAATTTAATGTAATTATTTATTTCAAATATTATATTTATATGTGAAATTATTTTTCTGTAATTATAATAAGGACTAAACAAATATAATTATAGATATTTTGTGCTTAGTAAATTATAATAAAAACACATCAATTATTCAATATTCTCGTAATTACAATGTATTACGTAATGTAATATTTTCTTGAACTAATTTACTTATTATATTTAACAAAGAAATTTCTAATATTATTATTTTTGGCACAGTTGAGTTACATAATAAATATATTTTTTTACAGTAGGAGAAATACAGAAAACACTTTTCACAAAACTATTTGGAGGGTCCATAGAACCAGTTTCTTTTGTTAACAGATTAAACCTGAATATCGTTTCAACTATGGAGTTAGAGAAGGCCGAGGAGGGAGAAAATGTATTATACATAAGCATTTTTAAATAAAAGCATTGTCGTAGTACGACTGGATCATTGAAGCAGGACTTTTTTTTAAATGATTACCACCCTATTTCTGCCACCCTTCCGGTTATATCGATCCCACAATGTAATGGATTTATTTTTATATCAGCCTGAGTTTTGAACCAATCCCTTCATATTGAAATTTTCAAGTTCAAAACTATAGTATATAATATTGCGCGTGTTTTAAGAAAATATTGACATGTAGTAAATTTTTATTAGTAAAATGTGTTTAATCATTGTGGAAAGTTAATATAACTTCAATTAATGGGTAACGCGTAAAGATTGTTTCAAATTGCGTCAAAGTAATAAATTTGCATCTGTAATAGAAATAATGAATCTCACATTTATAAACAACATGCTTACATTAATATAATTTGTAACATTTTATGAATTGATACATAAGATATAAATATTTATAGATTTATTTTCTCTAGTTACGAAAAGATTTTATAATTTAAAACGTTTCTATATATTATAATATCTATATGAAGTAATATAATACCAATAATAATGTTCATATGTAAATTTTATATGCAAATTCGCAATCTCAAAATGTATAACTCATTTTAGTCTTTGTTAAATCTTATTACATTATCAACATAACAAAAAATATTATAATAATCATAGAAATAAAGTGAATGCAGTTTCAAAATTACAGACAAAATTAATCATACCATAGAAAAACCAAAACATCTCTCCCAGTGAGAACCGAAAGAATAAGGTCACTAACCCTTGAAAGCCCCGTTAGATAAGGTTCTATAACTTCTTTAGTATTATCACTAATCTCAAATTGAGGATATTTTCTATAGAGTAAACGAACCGTTATTTATTCAATTAAATTAATTGATTGAAAAAACAATACATGTTTTTTATAATAAACAATTGAAGCGAGGAAGAAATGATTTATAGCTTGTAACTACCGAAAACTATAAAATACATTGTTATTTTTTTAGTTATGTTATAATTTTATACTTTAACTTTATTTGTTTGACAATAAATGTACTAAAAATAAATTGTAAATAAATACAAGACGATATAGAAAATATCTCTATTAATCACTTGAAGTATTTCAAATATTTCCGGTAGACGTGTTTTTTTGCGAGTATACAAGTCCTTGACCACAGACAGAATCTCTTCTGTAATTAGGAATGTTTGACCGCAAATTTATTTCTTTAATATATTAATTCCAAAAATTAACTTACGTTTTTTATTTAATATCAAACACTAAATCGAATTCACTTTAATAACGTTTGTAACGTCAAAGTGACGCAAATTAATAGTAATTAAAAAAAATGTATATGTCACCCCGGTTACAAAGTTATTCAAACATAACAATCACAGTTTCTGTGATATTTTACAAAACATTTTTTTTAAATTATTCCAAATAAGTTTAATATACATATATTATAAATATTTCGTTTGTTGTTTTATAAATTATTTCGCAAGAAAAATGTTAGTTATTCAATTCAAAGTTGAATCACGTTGTATAGCAAATAATGCACAAAGGGGTGATCTGTGTAAGATGCATACATAATTACTTGCGGTTACATAACATAGCAGTTGTTTTCTTGTAAACGCGAATGCATTTTGTTCTATTGTTTATATTATTAATATATTCAGATTCCTATAGAGTGTAAGTTGTTCCTTATGGCATAATCTGCATCATTTAATTTATTTTTATTTGATTTTCATGTAACAGACACGATGTTCAATAGATGTTCATCATTTAGTGATAAATTGTTATATAGCATAATCTACATTTTCTTTGAACCTGACTCGACATTCAATAGATCTTTCGCTTTAAGAGATAAACGGAGAGTCAATCTAATTCACTGCATGAAAATAGCCATTTCCTCATCGTTCTGGAATTGTGCATTTTCAGAATGCAGTATGCGTTTGTTTCAGTAATCGATTCTGTAAATAATGCATACAAATCCGTTTAAGAAAATGGAGATTACTCGAGTCGCATGGATGATGATGATGATTTCGGACTCGTCGCGTGCGTTCGCGGAAAACTGAATGAATTCATTTGCAAAACGGCCGACGCGTATGTCCACCCACGCACTTCCGGTCGTTAATCATATCGAAAGAATCGTCCGTAGAAGAACCATCGAAGAACACTGAAAATTAGAAGAGTTGAGACGTATTGATGTTGTTTAATAATAAACCGGTTGGGAGTTTTGTACAGCGAGTTTCTCTCCCCACCCCACATGGAGCGTTCAAACGAGTCCTGATGACCGCGCCAACGTAAATATAAAATCACTTGCGTTGAAGATTTTAAATTGTACACGATTACAGAACGCTCGAACGAAAGGACGTGCATCCAACGTACATCAATAATTAGGAAGACAAACACACGCTGATTGCTACAAACTACAAGAAGATTTAGTGAAAATGGAATTCAAACTCTGTGCCCTAGTTCTCCTAGCTATATGCAGTTTCTCTGCTGCTTATCCAGGTAAGATTACTTTTTTTTAAATTATTACTTTTAATATTCAACAAATAACAATTTTAAAGATTTACAAGGGCAGAACGTTAATAATCCTTCGCTATTCAACAACAAATTTTTTAAGAATATTTTTAGAAGTTATCTAACATATTTCTTTCAAAATGTACATACTAATGTTGACTATCTACTAATTTTAATAACAAATATATTGGCATTTTATCACGTTTAACATTCATATGTACATACCAATGACTTTTTTAAACATACGTATACTTAAAAAAAGACTATATTCAAAAACGAATTTCTCATTTTTCATCTAATTATTTAAGTAATGTTAATATTATTGAATGCAAAATTATATTAAAAAATGAATTAATAAATTTTATAAACATGTTTCAATAAGAAGTAAAAGATAAAAAATAATGTGAAGATTAAATTTTTAAATTATGGTGGAAAATGAGATGAATTAGAAGATATTTTATGCGGGAAATATGCTTGTTATAATATATATTATAGAAATGCAAGTAATATAATCTGTATGGGATTATACAGAAAAGATAGATATGTTTTATCGAAGCATTTTAATCCGCATTTATTGGGTGAAAAGAAAACTAATATATTTATGGATTAAATTTCACTAAGAGCTATCAATAATATTCTTTACGCAAATGGGAAGGAATTATTAATTATCAAAAGTTGATTGCTAAAGTAATGTTCTCAAGGTTTAATATAAATGTATGTAATGTGTCAATTATTGTTGTTTGTTAAAGTCAATAATAGCATTATTTTTATGTGTGTCGTAAACAATATTAGTTCATAAAATAAAGTACGTTATTTCTTTTATTATTATTATTATTTTATATATATATTAAGAAAATTCATTTTTTTTAATGTTACGTATCTAAAAATACAGTAAATTTTTTATCTAAACTGTATCCTGTTATAACAAAATTACTTCCTTAAACACAAAAAAAATCTAATTCGAATTAAATCTATTTTAATATAGTCTTCAATGGATACGAAACGAAATGAAGAATAACAGTTTTTATGGCCATTTATGTTAAGTTTAATTCATTAAATAGAAGTTCACCACATTAAAATTTAAAAAAATCTGAGCTTAATTAAATCTATTTTAATATATTCTTCAATGGATACGAACCGAAATGAAGAAAAATCAGTTTTTATGAAAATTTATGTTAAGTTTAATTCATTAAATGGAGTGAAATTCAAATTTAATGGTGTCCTTTTTTGCATATTGTGCCTATTAATAGATGTGGCACGGAATATTTAAATATGAGAGATAATATTTAAGTATTCCGTGCCACTTTGGGGCATAAACTCACTTCTTTTTCAATAAACGTCTTAACCATCTTTCGTTATGTTAGTCACATACTAGATCACGCTTTGAATTGTAGAAGAAATGTTGTCAATTGTTTATTCAAATGAATTATTACATAATCAATAAAAAAAATGATATGTCGATGTTTTTTTTTTTAATTAAATTAATTTAAGCTGTCAAATTTATTATAAAAAAATATTAATTAATTTAGTTATGATACACAAAATTTATAAAAATAGAAATTATGAGGACCTAAAAAATTTAAATATTGCTACTTCAAAGATTACAGAAGGACAAATGAATGAATTCTATTTATAATCTAATTATTTAATGTTTTATTTATATAAGTGGTTTTCGTTAATTAGAAAAGCAATGTTTCTTTAACGGATTTTTTTATCACGTTTGATTTAGAAACCACGATAATTCAGTGATTAAATGTGTAAGCGCAGTAAGTACAATAGATGTTGTCATTATTATTTGTAACAATGTTTCAATCGCAGTTGTATATCTTGTACCGGAAAACCTATTGCTTTATTTGCAGTTTATTACTCTGTTATTGTACACATGACGCATATTGATAAAAAGACATTAATTCGAATGTTTTTCCGTCGATTTAATACCTAAACTAGGTATAAATACGAAGTAAATACGTGTGTTTTCGTAAATAAACATTACACATCCCAATACTGATGAGAAGCCATTCTTGGCAACTTACTCTTAAACTCAGTAAACAAACGGATTCATAAGTGATTCATCTTAGGAATTCCAATAAGTAAATCAAAGTTTGTTAGTTTATAAACATTGCTTTAGGCCTTGAGATGACCTAACAATAAAAAAAAATATCGGATCTGAGTGAAATTTGCGAAAACCGCAAAAGGTCAATTCGTGTGGAAATGAGGTGTCCAAGAACCGATCCTCCATGACACATATCTCAAGAATATCCTGCGGTTTGCGAAAAATCTCGCAGCAAAACCATATTTGCATTAATAATAATAATATAAACAGAAAGCACTTCTGAAACATAACTGTTTAATGTATTATCATGGCCCCATATATGTGTTACACGATGCAGGTATTATATTCATAAGTCATTGAACCTAAGTAGAATACATATAGGAAAGCTTCCTTCAGTTGTACGCGACAAAATTACAGAACAATAGTGTTTTATTATAAAATTCAAAACAAGTCCTTGACCTCTAATCATTTACCATCCTTGAACCACAAACAAATTTTTGCGAATTGAATTTTTGTATTCCTTTTAATATTCTACAAGGGCGGCTACGTAGTAGCAATACAAGGTCATATTGATAATCTAATCCTTATTTATTGCTAATTCCGTACGCATCCCAATTACTAACTTTAACAGCCTTGATTCAACTTATCTACAAGTTTTAATAGGTCACACGTTTGCTTCTTCTTTCCAGTGACAACAAAAATATGATATGTTATATTCATCAAACCGAGTAAACGTTACAATAGTTTCAATAAAATGCGTTAGACTTTGGCCAGATAATTACGCGGAACTGCATAATTTTACAATAAACGTTGTTTACCTATATTTTTCAATGTCATCGCTGTGTTTCATAATAAATTTATTATTTTTGCATCGAATAACGATGATATAGACATCTTGATTTTATTTAATTTAAATTGAACTTCGTGTGTACATGAGGAAGTTGCTTGTGCATTCTTTTATACCTGCATTCGACGAACAATTTATGTATATTTTGAATAGCGAACCTTCGTTATTGTATCAACATTAAATTGTGGTCGTTTGAGTTTCCTGCGGTGCTTATTAAGCGCAAAATACCATACCATTTTAGTTTAGCAGAATAAATCACGGTGGAAGCACAATTCCAATTTCGTAAATGCTTTACTGTTCACATTTTTATTCTCATATTTATTTAAGTATACTTTAACTTATGTATTAAAAATTTCTTTATAATATCAAGGATTTTTTAAAATTTTTAAATGTTTTTACAAAAATCCTCTATTTGGAATGAATTTTAATAATAGCAATTCTATACTAAACAATGCATGCATGAATAGTTTGTATAATTTATTAATTATAGATAATTATTTACAGCAGTATCTAGTATAACTAATGTTTAAAAAATAATTTTATATTTGCTATTTAATTAAATTATTAATATGTATCATAACGCCACGTGGAATTACTTCATATTTGAACTCTAACATGTTACGAAAGTCAGATATAACTTGAATGGATAGTTTATTACACAACAATATTTACACATGTAACTTAATGCGTAAATATTATTGGTTTTGCGTTATGAAATGAATAGGAGTTTTTTTCTATATGTAAATAATTTGTAAGTTAATTCCAAGGCTTCAATTAACAATCAATTACGCGCTTCATTTGATGAATAATTTGTTGATTACTTATACTCGTTTGAAATAAATCTGTATTTAAATTATAAAAGACATTTATTTTTATCGTTTGCAGCTAACATCAAGGACGTGTCAGAAGAAGTGGACATCGTTCCTTTGGAGGGTCGTCGCCCAAGTGCTCACATTCCAGCATATTTCGATGAAGATTTCGACGATGTGGGCGTTGTGGACACCGGCTATTTTCCATCATCCTACAATCCATTTTCAGGATTCTATTCCGGCCTTGAAGGTAATAATCGCTTGAAGAATATGGCAAATGCATTTTTTTAATTGCTGCAAGTGGGTGTGAAAACAGATCCTACTCATTTTTTCAACTAAATATAAATTGAAAGAAAATGCGAAAACTGTTTAGTACGTATCTGAGTTCGGTAGTTAAAATTTTAAGAAAAATAACAAGGTATGGCGTTCCGCTGCATCGAAGGTAAAAGAAACGTTTATTTTAATTGTTTCGTGATTCGATTGTTTGAAAACGTATTGATGTTTCAAATGAAATTTATGAATCATATAGTTGCAAAATAAAGCGATTTGTATTCAAATCCTCATCTCTCGCATCCAATAACACACTCCCTTCCAATGTCGTATTAAATAACAAATCAATGATTTCTTGTATACTTATCATATATGCGTTTGCTTTGTTTGAAATTTTTGCAGCGATGATGAGAAGCATGAGGGAACAATTGGCCTTCATTCTGAATAATTTACCGGCTCGTTCGAATCGCACCGAAGATGGTTTACCTGGACTGGGTGTGTTCGGAAACGTTGATTTGAGCAAAGGAAATACAACATCTGTTACCAAGGTTTGTCATCTAACGACTCTATTACAATGCAAGATAAACACAAAGTTATATGCAAATTAGGTAATCGATGGTCATAAAGTTGTAATAAACGAAACTCAGTACGAAAATAAGGACGAAAACGGCGGATCTTTCTACAAAGTTCGCATCATCAATGTCCTTCCTGATAGCGAAGAAACTACCAACGGAGACAGCGAAGAAACTACCAACGGAGATAGCGAGATTGTACCAGTAACTGAATCTCACAGAGACGTTGAGCCCATCGAGGATAGTTTAGAGAACGAGATTGAGAAGAGCGATAAAGAGGTTCGTAATGAAAATATCCCACAAAAATTGCAGATTCCTAAACAATAATATGCATGCAAAGTAATATTTTTCAACCAGTTATAATCGAAAAATTTGTTTATGACTAAATATTAGAACTTATATCCTATAGAATCGTATGGTATTAATGTTGTAGCCCATGAGGAATTAACTATAATAGAAAAAAAAACATATTAATATATACATAGTTTCTATTTACGAAATAAAGATATTAATTCCGTTCAGTTTAATATTCAATCAGATTATTCAATTTCGGGTTCTTTTAAATGTTTGTCACTAATTGAATTAATTAACCATAAACCATCACTAACAAACTTCTAATCAAAAATTGTATCTCAAGTTAGCTTATAAAAAACTACATCTTTCATTTATCATCATCATCTATTCATAGCTTGTGCATTTCTACTATAGCTTTACATCACAACCACTACACATCTAACATATCAAGCACTGTGTGATTTTATTTCCTCCTGCACAACAACTGTTTCTTTTGCTTAGGGTTCTTCGCGCTCTGACCACATCGAAACCTTCGACGAAGTCGATTCTCTCCCCTCAAAAAAGAATATCGACGGTGAATGGGACGACGCCCAATGGAATGACATTGATCAATACCAAAACGTTCTTAGCAACGACATTGAGAGCGTGGATAATGTCAATCAGAATTTCAGAGATCTGAGTAACGATATTGACGTGAACGAAATATTGGCAAATAACAATGCTCCAATCAATCCGGATGCCGAGTACTTTGTTATTACAGACATGAGGACGCCCCATAAACTACCTTAAACATTCTGATTCTCTATTGTAAAAGTTTCTTGTGATAGCAGATATGAACAAAACATTCATCATAATTCATAATTTTGAACAAAACTAATCGAACACATTTATATTTTTCAAAAAATCGAATGGAAAAATAAAATTAATCGAAATCCTGTAAATATCAAACAAACAACTTCTGTTTTAAATTATTTATTTGTTTAACTTTAATCTAATAGACTGAATTCATTTATGATAACAAATTTAAGGATGTTGTAAAGGGCATGGTTTTTTTACTGAACAACTATCTTGCCAAAGATTTGATTTTAACAACATTTTGTGGCAACATTAAAGACATTTTCATTATTTATTTATTGAAATAAACACGTATTTTTTACATAACTCGTTTTTATTCTTCCCTTAAAACACTTTTTCGCTTCGCTTTATATGTTTCTTATATGTAATCATTTTATTATTGTCTTATTTATTAGAATTTTAAGTTACATCGTGCAATAAAATGCTAAATCACTAAAAAATAAGTATAGTTATATTTATTTTTACAATTCGTCTGCACTTTGATAGAGTAACATTCGTTTTGAGTTGTTTGTGCATCAAAGTATGATATATCACGATTAATAAATTATATTATTAATTTAATTTGGATCTACGTATTATCAAAAATGATCATGTCTTATTTCACGCATAATTTTAATTAAATTTGAACAAGAAGTATAAATAGTGAATCAAATATATAAAATGTAAGAATTTAATAATATTATTGATGAATTCATCGAAAATTCAATATATTTCAATTGAAATGATGTAATACACTTATAACGTTGAATCAACTATGCCGTCACAAAACGAAGGACGAAGCTAACAATATCCGCTACAATTTGGAATTCCCACAACGTGCATTATTAAATTGCGAATCTAATCAAAACTTTTTAACAATTCAGTCGTGATTATTGAAGATCAATCCAATTAACTCTGCGTTCGACTCATCCAAATTACACCACATTGAAAGTATTGTAAAAAATAATTGATTTTTATATATTTTAAATCAAAACCAATAAATCTTAATTATAATTACATTCAGCTTTCATTCGAAATGCTGCAGTTATGTATTACATTTTTGTTTCGATTTTAAGACGAGTTAAGAACAATAAACATCTATGGAAAAAAAATGTTTATGTAATGTCACCGGCGATCAAATATACTGGATAAATTGTAATTAATATTAAGATTTAAAAAAATATAAGTTTCGGGATAGGCTATATCACATTATATGATATTGGTTTGTGCCCACCGCAAATACCACTGAACATTCATGCTTAAAATCTGCATTTTATATAGGTAAGGTGTAGAATGTAATACAAGCAACTTATTGCATGTGTCGCACAATTCAGACGATTGTCTGGAATTTATAAAAATCCATCCACACGTATTTTGCTCTAAGCAACGCCCTTAACGTGGGGGTAGACTAGGAAGCAGTCTCGAGGCCGTTTTAATGGTATAAATAGAAAACATTTATCTAGGTAGAACATACAATCCAAAACACTTTGTGATAAAACACCTATCATTATAAAATGAATACTTTCGTGGTAAGTTTTAAACAATACTTTTATATTCATTATTTACTTATATATTATTATTATTATTACTAGACTTTTGTTTGCGTGGCATTCGTCGCTTCGGCGTCGGCCTCAGTTCTTTTAAATCCAAACTACGGTGGGTCAGTTGGACCTAGTGGAATCGTAACTGGTATTGGGGCAAAAGGGCCTTCGGGATCTGTAACAGGACTTGCTGCTGTCGGACCATCCGGTGTCGTGACTGGTGCTGGAGCCGTTGGACCCACTGGACCTAACGGACACGGAATCGTTGGTTTGGGACCTTTGGGAATTGGAGCTGGAGTTGTCGGACCTGTCGGAGCCGGAATTGTCGGACCTGGTCTTCTCGGACCAGGCATTGTTAGTGCAGGTCTTGTCGGACCAGGCCTTGTTGGTCCAGGTCTTGTTGGACATGTTGGTCCATTAGGTTTAGGATTGGGTTCAGTTGGAATTGTTGGACCTGTAGCACCTGGGGTTGTTGTCAAAGGACCCTCTGCTGCTACTACCATCATCGGACCATCTTCCAGTGTTGTCGTTAAAGGACCTGTTGCTGGAGGTCTGTTGGGATTGAGTTCACTTGGTAAAATTGATGGTTTATGGTAAATAATAAAATCAGCAAACCTGCATAAGCTATGTTTAACGAAAAAATCTATACATTTGAAAGCAAAACAGTCAATTTACTTTTAATTCTTCATGTCAATAATGTATATGTATTTTTTTAAATTTAATTTGTTTATGCTATTATATAAGTTAGTACTTGCTCAATATATTAAGACGATATAGGCCCTGATCATGTAAAAACTCTCATCAATGTATTTATATTTTTAATGTGTTTCGTAAATAAAAATATCAAAAATTAATAATTTTGTTATTGACCCATATTTAGATATTGCTGTATAACAAAAGATTTATGTAATAATAGCAATTATATCATTGGATTCACTTTTCAAGTGTATAAAACCAGTTACTTACTATTAGCTACTTACCAGATATCACATTAGCAGTGCACGTAATAAATCTATGACTTTCATAATAAATTTGTACTTACACATGACTAATAGATTTTGAACAAAATTATACCAATCTTCTTTTTCTAATATTATTTTGAAAATTAATTAGAATGGATAAATCATTAGTCAAAATAAGGTTTAATCTTCAATGTATCAAACATAAACTACTTAATATAAGTAGATAATTGATAACGCAAACGATATTATGTATAAACCATTGCTAATTTGATTGAAATAGAATGTATAAAAGAAATAAAAATATATTGATTTCTTAATTAGAAATTTATTTATAAATGACAAACTTATTCATCCTGCACGACAGTGGTCTTTTCGGACACGTAGAGACCATCCAAGAATTTACGGATATCCTTATTTTTGACTGCAGTAGACTGCTGGATGAGAGCGGCAGATTTGGAAACATCCTCCAGCGAGTTTCCTTCAATGATCAGTTCATCCTTTTGTTTGGGAGAGTTGATGATGGTTACACCAGGAGCCATAGCTACCCTACGAATGAATTTCTCTCCCAAGAAATTACGGATTTCAACAACGCTGTTATTTTGGGTGGTGACGCAGTTGATGGGGAAATGGGCATATACTGCACGCATTTTGTATTGGAATCCCTTGGTTACACCTAAAATAAATGGTTAAGTTTGATTAATAAAATTAAAAATTACAAAAATAACTAATAATCAAATAAGGCAACCACACTTAAATGGATAGAATTGAGTTAAATTAACAAATGAATAAAATTAGTTTAAAATTTTACAGGAACCAGTCTTAAACCTTAATATTTTGGGTGGTAGAAAGGAACGTAAAATTTTACCACTTTATCAAATTAATTAAATTTTTAAAGAAAAATAATATGGATAGAGCTATTGCAACATTTGTTACTTCTATTTAATCAAAAGTTTGCAGAAAAGCCTTCGCAAATTTGGATGCTAGTAAAATATAATGAATGTTTACCTTTGATCATGTTTTCAACATGTGAGCAGACAGTACGGACAGCAGCAAGTTCCTTCTTTTTGCCGAACCATTTCTCTACTTTCAACAACCTAGGGCTAACCATACGAACATCAATTGAAAGATGTTTGAAGTCACGCCTCAAGACTCCCCTGGGTCCTTTGACAGTAACAACCCTGCATCTTGCAGAGACTTGAATGTCCTCAGGGACTTTTACTGTCTGGTTTGAAACAATTTGCTTCATTGTGGTGCTAAAACAAGTAAAAAATAAATTAGGAATATGTTCAAATGAGGTGAAATTGTATAAAGTACATATGTGTTATAAACAGTTATTAACCTCAAATAAAAATAAATTACTGAGATTTTGCAAAGAATTCTTTACATTCAAAATAATAAAATACTAATAAAACAAAGTTAAGAAGCTATAAACAATAGCATACTTAACCAGTTAAAGAGTTTTCATTGAAATTAAACATGACAACATTGAAACATAACCTACATACAAACAACAAATTTTTTAGAAGTTTGAATTTCAGTAAAACACTTATTTTAGTAGCAAAATTTTTTGATAGAATTTTAGAATATAGTTTATTAAATCACTATGTACTTTACAATTTCCAAAAATACTTACGGTATCACAGATGTTTTAAGATTTTAAGAGTTTATGCACTAGAAACCTACCTTTCACGTTGACGTATAGAAGCGGAAGAGGCTTCGGCACGCTGTCACTTTTCTGACTGTAGTTTCCTAAGTAGTCGTATGGCGCCAAATTCAAAAGCAACAACAAAACGCATAAGACAAAATTTTAAAACAATATAGGTTTACTGTATATCTCAATTCCCTAATTTATTGAAAAAATCAATTAGTTTAACTATAAATAATTTTCTTCAAAAGAAATAAAAGAGATATTGTATTTAAAAAATAATTAATAATTAAGCCTATTAATTTATTATTGTACAGCTTACATTTGATATTATTAATGTATCACTAAATTATTAATTCAAAATGCAAAAGGTTATTTATAAATTAAAACAATATAAATATATTTTATAAACATATTTAAGTTTAAATTTACTGTACAAATAACGTGTATCTTAATTAATCTATAATATATGTATATTTCAGTAACATTGTACATTTTAATGTATTTGAATTAAGTTATAAATAAATTGCAAATTACTTTTTAATCGGAGTATATTTGGCTGCCTATAATTTACCTTAAATATATATGCAACCACTTGTTAACACGCAAATAGAATAGTAACGCCGCAACCGCCAGATGGCTGTGGATGAAGGAAGAAGAAGATCAAAATATCTTAGCATTCAGGAAAACTATAGTAATTTTCCCTGATACATGTAAGCATGTAAGAAAGCAGTCTATACTTGTATCATAGATTACTATGATACAAGTATATTATATATTTATATGGTTTATATTTATATTATTTATTTGGTATATATTTAAAAATCCTAGGCATTTTTTGTTTATATTTTAAATTAACAAACAACGATAAATTATCGTTTTACAGAATTCATTAATTATTTAATAATTTGTTTGGTTTGTTTGTTGGATATGCAATAAATTATGTCTAATATTTGTTTATTTATCAAATACGTATAAGTTTATTAGTTTTGGAAGGCAACAATTGAAATTATTACATATTTTCCATCAAATAAATATTTATTCATTTCGTTGCAAAATTATATTTCTGAGATGTTTGTTATGTTAAAATTATACGACTTAAGTCCAAATTGAATGTATGCACTAATGGTAACTAGTCAAAATGTTACTTCATCTATGAACAAATAAATTAAAATTATATAAATATAAAACATTAATAAATAGAATTTCTGCTTAGTCTGTAAATTCAATAATGTTTATAAATACATATATAAAATAGAAAAAAATTATATTTTAAATGGTTATTTTTCTGTAGATGGAGAATGGTAATGTAATGGAGAATTGATATATGGAATAAGTGCAAATATTATTAATGAATGTGTGCACATATTATTGAATAAATTAAGCATAACTGTAATTGTAAGTAGACAATATAAATAGACAATTGCAGGCGTTAATCAAATTAATATGCACATTTATTGCTTAATCATTTACTGTTATTTTAGATAAATTTGTTATAGTATGATCATGTATTACCATAATATTTATTGGAATGTCAAAACGTATAAGACACGTTGCCAAATATTATTTAGATTCAGGAAAACAGTTATTTAAGTGGTAAAAATCTATCAGTCATCATTTTTTTATGGTACCAATAATATATTTGAATGAAACTGCAGTGTAAATATATAATATTGTTACTTCTGTTTGAGAATACTTGAAAAATTCGTATGGAATTCTTGGATCGTTAAAGTATTAAAGGTAGCTGAGGATCAGGCAACATGGCGTTTGCGTTCCGTGCAGTGGCCTTAGTTTCACTTCAGTCCGTATGTAGAATGGTAATAGGATAAAAAATAGCAAGTCAAAGTTTTCAGACTTACGACGACTGGCGGGGGAACTTGTTGACTTTATTCTCCCGTTCATCATTCTCAGTGGTGTAGCGTTGAGTGAAGCATAGGCAATTTCGTTTAAAGGTTGTAAATACCGTAATGTTTTCATTGTTCTGAGGCGTCCTTTAAAAACGTTTTGGAGAGACAGCCAGGATCAGGATCTGTGCAGGTGGATTAAGTGATTAACAGGTTGGAATTAGTGAGCGTCCGTTTTCATGTCGGACCGAGAGTAATTCTCGTGTGTTGTGTTCTCTTCGTGTTCACTTTATGGATATTATTTCCTAGACGGTGGAAGAAAGGCCTTAAGGTGACGTTATTTTGCGTGCCTCGACAAAAACGATCATCTCAGAGCGAAAGCGTAAGTTCATCCTGTAATGATCCTCCCTTGCAGGTTCCCCACATTCATCTGATTACAATATGTTGTACATCTTCAAGAAGCCCCGAATCCAATTCGCGATCGATTCTAATTACGCGAAACCTGTTCGCACTTGAAGCGATAAAGGATATGCAGCAGGACGAACCAGCAATAATTGCAGCTAAAGTCAATACGACCGGAAGTTTGCGTCTCAATTTTATCTTATCAACCGTATTGCAACAGCCTTCAATATTGTCAGAGAGACGATCATTTTTTCTCTGCACGTATTTTTGAGTAACACGAATGGTATTTAATGTAACGTATACATTCCTAAACGAAGCTCACTTGGCGCCCACACTGCGTCCTTTTACATGTTCAATATTTTGTTAGTCTCTCGGTCAACACCTAATGTCATATACACTATTGTTTCCAACCACAGCTTTCCTCGCTAGACGCAACAAAACCCTTTTCACATTCTTCTCGTGCAGTTTAGGTTGCAACAAATGTGTGGAAAGAAAGAAATAAAGAAAGTAGCAGGCTACTACCTTTACGTGACCTGGTTCATTCTGTGCCTTGACTTTAAATCGAAATATCTATTTTATATCAGATAGTTGACCTCTGCCACTATTTCGAATCTTTACATTTACCATTTTTACATTTACCTAGGATTAATGTAACGACATAACTCGCTAAGACCATATGTATAACTAAGTCAAGACTTCATTATAGAAAACGCTTAAATTTATGAATAATATTACATATTTACTGTATATCCGTCAGCTGGTTAACATCGGCTTTTTCCAGTTATGGAATACAATTCCACAATAGCCATAATGATATAACGTGCAATTCTTGGGTTCCCCATTATACATATTGTAATATTATATATGCTTGTACTACATTTAGATTTATCATCACAATGCCGTATTTTTGTTAATACTGTTATTTTTATTTAGTATCAATATATTTGTTTATATTCATTGAAGATATACGGAAAACCACATATCGCTGAGATTCATTCTAGAATAATGTAGGATCGAATCTAGCACACTTCTTATGTAGAATACATGCTGTAGAAATTGTTCTATATTGAATGCTAAAATTCCTTTCACCGAGAAACAAGGATTAGTGTTTCGATGTTACTATTCTCTTTGAGTCACGAATGGTTCACGCAAAATACAACAAATTTCCAGACGTCGATGCTACAAAACACTGCATCATTCTTAATGACTGATCATTTCTTCGCTTTGTCAATAATCAATTTATGTTTTGATATGCTTTATTAACGTTTTTGTGTATTGTTAATTATAATTTTAATAATATTGACATTATTTGACATATTGAAATTATTAATTGTGTTAAATACAAATTAAAGTATTTCCTTTATTTCACTCACATATTTATGTGAAGCATTTTGCACAATATACATAGGACATTTATAACTCATAAAAACACTTGAAACAAAATTTAAATTCATAAATTCTCTATTTGTATTAAAAATATTTCTTGATAATTTCATTAAAAATTATCCGCTAATATTTCATTGTTTTGTATTGTAAAAAATACTTTATAATTATCAGTTTGTCTCCAAATCAATTTTATTGATAAAATGCAATTTATCAAGTATTTATCAATTGCTGAAAATTGTAAACTCCTTATGAGAAAGGGAAGATTTTCAAATTTTGTTTTATTATTGATTTATTACAACAAATGTTTCCCAGTTCAACGTACTCGCAAACAATATTTTATTTAAATTACGTTATTTTGCAATGTTTTATCTTCTAATTATATTATATTTCTATAAATGATTACTGAAATATGTATGATTATCATGCAATAAGATTTGGTTTGATCTTTCTTTAAGTAAATATGTACACACGTTTGTTTCTGTTTGCATTGAAAACATGTAAATTATCGAATATCATTTATACACATGGTTTAATATGTAAATTGGATATGACATATGAGTCACATTCTGAAACTCCTACTAATACACAACATTGTTGTCACACACGTTTATAAAATTCATAAATCAATCGAGGAAATTGTTATGCAATTGATTCAAACAAAATATTCATAATAAAAGAACCATTTATTTTTGTCTGATTTTAATTTCCATGTGTTTTATGGATTTGTTCTTGAATTTTAAATAGTATTTGGACAATCGCAACATCTAAAAATAATTCTGATTTTGTTTAAACTTCTTGCTTCATTTAGTAAATAATTTGAACACACTTGCATCAAAACTCAAATTAATTTAAAGCATCTATGAAGATAACAGTGATGACGGATTTTTTTTCTTAATTAATGTGCGCGAGAAGTTGCTGTAATTAATATGGAGTGAACATGGAAACTTATCACCTCTGAAAACAAGAAACAAGATCTCGAGGTTATTCTGCGGAAGTTGCAACGAGTTTTCAAATTTATTATTATAATTATTTAGGAAAATTGAGGATCGCGGATATGATCTAGTAAATTAATATTACTTTACTTATTTAATTAAAAAATAAACATTGTAGGATAAATAAACTGCGTGTTTGTGTTTTCATCATTGCTTTTTGTCATTGGTAAATCAAAATTTGTTTTTATACATCATCTGATCTTTAAATACATTTTTTCCCGTGAATCAACTATGATTCAGCGTCATTTGCTGAATGGCAAGAGGATATTTTCGTTTTTCTTACTTCGCTTCGCTTCCTTTAGAAGTGTAATTTATCATGTACTTGTTTGTGGAAAATCGTGATTTCGCACAAAGATCTATTTTCAACTACATATTTTTTTTTAATGTAATTGGTTTCATCAATATTTGTGGTTTGTTCTAAAAATATTCCTATTTGAAGATGTTCGAAATGATAATTACTTTAAACTTAATTTGCAACAATGTTAATGATTGTCGATGTATTCCAAGCATTTCCGTCGAAGGGAGAATACTTCGAACACCTGTTGTTATAGAATTGAATGAATCGAGGGTCTTTTCTGAGTGGAACCGAGGGTCGAAAAGGAAGAAGGTACAAACAAGGACCAACTTTTTTTTTCATACTTCTACCGTGCATCTTGCACCTGGTATACCTTGCCACACTCACATTAGAAGAGCGAAGCAAATAAGCACGTATTTGTTAAGCGAACGTATTGAATAACACCCTATCGTGGCACGTAAAATAGTTTAAAATCACGTTTTAATCATGCCAGTTTCTTATTAGTATTTTCACTTGCGTCCGCGTGACCCAGCGACTACCATCAGTTTCAAGGGCTCCAAAAGAAGAAAGAATGAGCTGTGAAGAAAGAAAGAAAAAAACACGGTTTAAAAATAAAATTATTATTTTTTTTTGTACGTTCTGAATTCACAAAGACGTTAAGCACATTGAATATTCAATACGTGTATTCTACACAATGAATATACTTTTCTCAGAATTTTATTTATATTTTTATATATATAATTGCAATACAGCTTCGCTCCGACATTGTTGATCTTGTGAGAACCTCCGGCTTGGCGACATGCGTTATTTTCACATTATTGTATGTCTGCATGGAATCATTGTTATAACCCCAAAGTGAAAGTTTCGAAATGCAACACAATCCATTGGAATATTACAAAACGGAACAAACTGTGTAATTATCACAATGAGCTGTTTAAATTTGTTTCGTAACGATGTTCGGAAATGCACGAAAAGATGAGAAGACACGAAGATATTTTCCTTCTGCGAAATTAATTTCACAGCTATAAAATTTCATTAATTTTAAAATGATGCTATAACAATAAAAAAAAATGATTGAAGCAACAGTATTTCATGTTACATAGAAACAATTGTCCTCTACGATGTGAATTATATTTATATACGGATATCGTGAACAGGAATAATCGCGGTTCGAAATTATTGTTATTTTCTGTTCGCTCTTTTTTTTTATTCACATTGTATAATTCGCTGTGCGTCCTTCGGTGGGTTTCCGTTGCAAGTTTAGCATTTAACTTGAGGCAGATACTACACATATATAGAGGAGAGCCAGTTATATAAAACCTTACATCACGAGCGAGATCACGGCCAATCTTACGATCGTGCTCTTAGTCTTACACTCCAAACTAGATTTTAAATCGAACTCCTTTTATTATTCTTCCTCTTCTCTCATTCAACAATTTACAAGGAAAACTTCTTTTTTTTATATATATATAAAACTCGTATCTATACTTACATGTGAACAATTTATTTAAATGTCTTATTTACAACGTTAATTTATCATTATTCTCACAGAAGTTTGTTTATTAACCTTTTTTTTGTCTTAATTGTTATAAAAAAAGCATTTGTGGACAATTAAAAACGATATATTTGAATACGATTAAAGTGTGTGTCACTGAAATCTAATTATACTATGAAGATTACTTGAGTATCGGAGATTTATGAAAATATGACTGGAAGTTGAGTTTATGACAAGGTTTTAAGGAACTTTATTACTTGTGAAGTATGATTTGTTAGTTCACCTCGCACCTTCTGTGTAACCACATTAAATAGATTATTTACGATTAGTTTACAAGTTTGTCTTTGCAGGAAGTTAAAGTATCAGTAACAACTTAGTAATTACTACACATTGTGATTTTTATTATTTATTTTTCTACTAGATACATTTGTCACAGTAAAATTTCCTTCTTTTATTTGCTTAAAATTGACTAGATACGGAAATAGGAGAAAGATGTATACATCATTTTTCCATTACATTTTAACATGAAACTAGGAGAACAATTTTCTTTTATATTATCTTATGTGTGCAGAAGTAAGTTTTATCAAATTTTTAAAGTTGGATTTTCCACTGTGGAATAAAATTACTGATAAAATGCGGGTGAATAATATAAAATTATTATTTAATATAAAAATACAAATACATAATTACTCTTAGATTATGAGCGGAAATAAGTGGTTTATATTATATATAATTGTTTGTTTTTTTTTTGTTTATGTCTTGTAATAAACCTTGTTATTATATTGGATTAGTGCTTGTATATTGTTGTTTTT